ATAGAGTCAGGTGGGTACTTTCTGTCATGATTTTGTCTATGTGAATAGCATATTATTGTCGCCACCAGACTTGTAATCCTGAGTTTGCCCCCCACCAGGGCAACGCTACTGACTGAAGTGTCTATGGGCCATTCCCAAAGGGGGGATATTAACATGTTCTTATGCTCAGAAGAATTGTAAATGGGTGATTTATCAATGTCATGCTTATACTGTGCCGAAACAACATATGGGGAAGTGCTGCTTTTTCTTTCCCCATCCTTACTATCGTCTTTTTTTCCTCTACTTCTTTTGTATGTTTGTCACACTCTTGTGAACTGCTATTTCCGGGGTGCCTTGATAGTCGAAGCAGACTTAGTGCTGTTGAGGCTAGAGAGGTGAGCAGAGGCCCCGTTTGGCCTTCTATCTTGACGTCCACCCCTTGGAGCTCATATGACCTTATTCAGTTGCGAGCACGTCAAAACATTACTAAAACTAAACTAATCATGAGGTTGGGGTTTGTGTCTCAGCTCGGCCTGACGTGTCCTTTGAAAAGGCACTTTACACTAACTTTCCTTGCTTTACCCAAGTGTGAATGGGTACCTTACCATAGTCAGTAGAAGATGTCTGTATTAGACTGTTTGTTAGTGTTTTAGCACCTGTAAAATAATAGCTTGCTTTGTATGCTTTTCAAGAAGTTAAGATTGTTTCAGAATGTTATCAGTTATCAGTTCTGCTGGGGTAATAATATAGCTTGTAAAGAGCACTTTAAAAAAAAAAAACTTGTTGGTGAGCTGCAATTTTCGCTATATAAATACTATTATAACCATTATAATCAAATAACTTCATTTGACTGTGCTTTACAGAGTGAGTAAAAAGCTTTTTTTTTTCTGATGACGGTTAAGTTTGTTTTAAAAATGCCCCTTTGTAAATTTTTTGGAGAAGTTTTTAATCCTTCTTAAACCAGAGCAGCTGCAGTACATGTTTTGTGTTGCATGGAATTTTAGCCTTTGTAAAATCAGTTTCTTTATCTTTAAGTCAGCGTTCCATAAATACTCAGGTCATTTCCACACCATGCTGTTTATTGGAGTCTATAATTTACATTCTATATTTGACTCTTTCCGGACGTATTGCCGATATATCGGCGCGAGTCCACACCCCTTGCGGACGTATCGCGATATATCGGCTGTGATAAGGTGCCTCAGTATTGTTTCATTTTAACATGATCCATCATTTATAATCACTTTTTATTGCTATTGAAAAACTTGGAAAGGATATAGGAAACAGAATCATCTAGTTTCACTTTGTCAAAGCGTGGGTTTGGGGAAAAACAAAGGAATCAGTTCTTGCGGTCTTGCATCAACGAAACGATGTATCGGACTCAGTATAAATATCATAACTCAAACAAAAATTGGAATATTGCTTTCAAATAAAAAGCTGCAGATTCAGAAATTTATGGATTATGCTTTTGGCCTGTATATGATAAGATAGCTATACTGATTTGCTTTCACCTGTTTGGTGAATGTAATTTTTTCCATCAAAATTTATTTTTCTCATCACCATCGCCATTTCTTACCCTTCTAATGCATACTTATGTTCAAAATTAATCCTTCTTTCATATTAGGATGTATTCCTCATTCAATTTCCTTCCATTTGATATATCATATGTTACGTTTTGAGGGACGGTTATGCTTCTATGAAGTTATTTTGTACACCACCTGCATAGCCAAATGTCTAGACCCCCCAAAAAACTACGTCCGGAAAGAGTTAAAAAGCAGAGTCCAGTGCAATTTCAAGGGCTTATATTGGGGAATGTTCCCCTCCTCCCTTCCTCCTCCCTTCCTCCTCCCTCCCCCCCCCCCCCCCCCCCCCCCCCCCCCCCCCGTTTCAAGGTAATCTGCTTTTGAAATGACGTGGAACCCCCTATGAGCATTCCACTGGTTTCAGGTCTACAAGTCTTTTCCGTCATGTTGTGTACAGTGTGCTCTCAAGGTTTTTATTGATCTGTGATGTTGATGAAAAATATTTTTATATATTGCGGTACCGGTACTCTAACTACATATTGTATGTGTTGTATTTTTTTTTACTTCTAACAGACATTATTATTAACTTTTACTTTTTTAAAAATCTCATGAGAGTCAATTGCATTTAGGCTACATATTTTGGGATAATAAAGATTTTTCTATTTTCAAGAAAAAAATCAATAAAGGGTTCTCGTTTTTCTTATCAGTACTTATCAGTGATGATGATTTTGATTATGCTTTACATGTGTGTTGTTGTAAAAGTTATTTATCTTTCCCTTTCTACTACACTTTCTTCTTATCTATAGGACCCTGAGCTTTCTGTGACATAGAAAAACTGTGGTTCATGTGGGGGAAGCTTCTTGCTTATAGCAGAATGATCGGCGTCTGTGGTGTAACAGTTAGGTGCTTTGATGTTGCACGCAGGAGACCTGAGTTGTGGGAATTTTTATTTGGTATCTTGACAGTCTTTGTTTGGATGTTGTATCCCTCTCCGTCTGGGTTGGCCCTGACAGGCAGGATCAGAAGCCCGCTTCCTAAATGATCTAAATTGTGTCAATGTGCCGAGAGAATCATTACAAAAAATTACATTCGTACAAATATACACATGAAGTTAGATTGTTCAAGCTGTTGATCATATTGTAAGTGACTCATTTTTGATACATGGTATATTTATATAGATATAAGGGACTGTATTTAGCTCAGTTCACATAGATGTAATATGATGGTGTGAACAACCTTCAGAATTTAGATCACACAAGCTATTGATCTGTAGATTTAAGTTTCGGAATTGATAACGACAACATTTAAGTTAAACAGTCTTTCTGAAGCTTGATACTACTTACAGGTCATGTCTTTTGGGACGTGGTGCTGTTAATCCCTTGCCATGACACCAGACGGTCTATGAAAACATTTTAGGTGGACGAGGAAAATGCCAGCATCTCTTGGACACAAATCCAGAAACTCTGAATCTTGGGGTTGTTTAACAACTATGCCATACTGACCTCCAAGTCATTGATGTAAAGAAAAAATTTGGAAATGTATTTTGAGTTTTATAATAATAATAATAATAATAATAATAATAAATTACACTTTTATTTGTCCCAGAAGGGCACTTTGTTTTACAATGGCAAACATACATATATAAATACATGATTATAGATACGTACATGACATAAATACATACATGCATAAATACATACATAAATACACACTATTACACAAATACAGAACAGTTTACAAACAATGCCATTGCCGGTCGCCACTGTGCAGCGCCCTGAAATTTGAGCTAGGGTTGTCGTGTCTTGCTGAAGGACACACTCCAGTGACCACCCATCTGATCCCCGTGTCACCGACACTTGCTTGACATTGCTTGAGTCAAAACTCACTACTCACTTAGCCACTGGAGCCCCCATCAGTGGGATCCATCAGTTTTCAGAGCATAAGGTTTTCGTATTAAAATTAATACCTTTCTGTAAACGAGGCTGAAAAAAAGGGAGGTATTGTTCTCCTTAAAACTTAGCAAACAGTTAATTACACAATATTTTTTAAAGGATTTCTTTCTCAAAGAATCTTCCATTGTGTTCTTGACTTAGATGATAATGATAAGTCTTACACTCCAATCATTTTTGCAGACAAGTATTGGACAAAATGAACTGTAGACAAAGATATGGGTACATAGCTAAAAAAAAGAAAAAGAATACTTTGTTGTAAGTTAATGTAAGCACTCGTAATCTATTATCTATTTGCGGTGGCCGAATTTTGCTATTCGGAAGGCTTTTTAATGGCTGCATTGATCGAGATGCGGTTGTCGCCAAAAGATTCTTTAAAATATTTTCCAGATCATGACGCCCTTCGTTTTTTTCAGTTTTGATACAGTTTTGCTGCAAAAAGCTAAATTTCTTTATTTCGGCGATCGCTTTTGTAGGCCGACACTTCTGTCTCTGTAATTTTAGAAAATCCGGTGCGAAAGTGATATTTCGCAAGACGCATTTTGTTTTGAGAGTATTGATCTAGATCTAGACCTTCTCTTTTTTTGCGTCTCTCAAGATTTATTGCTCCATTCCAGTAGAGTGTAAATATAGTGGGCCAGTGACTTTCAGTTGATGATAAAGTTAATGCACCAATCATTCCTTTCGTCGAAAGGGGGCCCCGCTAGTAACTGTATTTACAATGTCCACCTGTACCGTCCAAAGAAGCAAGTAAACAAGCATATAATTATAATAGTATTAGTATTGTTCATTCCTACTCATTTCTATACTTTACACCCCCCCCATCTCAATGAAGAGACACAACCCAAACAAAGCAAGCCAATACTCCAACTTCATAGCTAAATAGCTCAAAAGGAACACACAAATTTAAATAATGCATTTGAAGGTCAAGTTTTAAACAACTATATCATGTGGTTTCACCCATACTTTGACCAAATTTCTATTCTTCAAATACATTGTACTTGTCTCAGAGCTTTTACTACTGCAGAAAAAGTTCCAAGATTTTGCATAGATGTAATTGGTTCATGATTCCTCCTTCAGTGATACAGTTATGAGTGGGAATATAGCTTTTTTTCTCTCTCCTTTTTTTTTGCCTTCTCTATTTCTTTTTTAAAAATTTCTTTTTCTTTGTTTTTCTCTTTTTCTTTTTAACATGTTAGTTTTTTTAAAATAACTTTTTCTGTTTTCCTTGTTTACAGGGGTATTTTTTTTCTTTGCTTTTCTCTTTTTCTTGTTTAGGGATGAAAATAACTTCTTTCTATCTTTCTTCTACTTTTCTCTTTTTCTTATTCACACAGGTTTCTCTTCTCATTTTTTTTTTCTTTTCAGTTTCTTCTTTTTCTTATCCTTTTTGTCTTTATCTTTTTTCAGCTCACATGCAAATTTAGAAAAAAACTTTCTTTTCTTCAGCTCAGCAGACAGTTTTTTTCCTTTTCTTTCCTTTTTGTCTTTATCTTTTTTCAGTTCCTGTACAAATTTGAAAAAAAACAAACTTTTCTTTTCTTCGGCACAGCAGAGCCATGCACGGAATGATGTCAATGAAACTGCTTCATCATATGGTGAAGCAACGAGGTGTGAGGAGCGGGAACACAGACTCGATCCATGCCCTTTGGGGAGTAGCTGTTCATCAGATAAACCTGATATGCGGACAGAGAAAGATGGAGACGGAAAGCAGAACATCCTCAGCTGCTGAAGTCAGTCGCCCTGTGAAGCTTCTATGTGGAAACAGAATACTGATGGACAGCCAGTCGTTCGTGATACCATCTATGGGTGTGTCTTTCCAGGGCATGTGGTCTGGCCGGCAGTACCACACTTTGATACCTCAGCGACAACAGACACCAGCGGAGTGTCGTTATACTCAAGTCAGGGCCAAGTCGAAGAAAAAAGTTTACGATTCTGATGTAAGTTGCTTGCTATAATACGTCCATTTCACGTCTCTCAAATTTATCATACTTACGAGTGTTGTGGCTGGACGTTATTAGTAATTGATATGTGTACGTATTCTAACATCTACTTCAACATTGTAAGGTTATAAGGGATGGAACCTCTGATAGTAGTACCCATCTTCAAAAGGACCGAACTAAAAAGGTGAAATGCCCTGAAGTTCAAGATTTCAGGATTCGAACCAGCCATTAACACCATCGCCCAGTATGATACTAGCTCAGCTAACAACTTGCTCAGTCTAAGTGTACTTGTACCACTTGTGAATATATGATGCAGTTCCCACTTTTGATCTGGGAAGAGTCTTGTTTTTTGTAAGAGTTTTACAAACTCAAGTCTTCTGCATGCAATGGTGAAGCGCCTAACGGCTACAATGCAGTGAAAGGTTAATTTAAAACAGAAAAGTACCCCACCTCCCCCCCAAATTTAATGATCTATGAAAATTTTTTGGTTTTTTTATCTTATTTAAGAGCTGGTGTTGATATGCATGACCTTTCTTTTGTTCTTTTTGCAGAGGGACACGGATGATGATGATGATGATGATGGATTAGACGAAGATGATTTTGATGCTCCCTCAAATTTCAAATCAATGAAAATTCACACCGCTTCTCTGAGGGCAGATGCAATCATTAGCAGCTCCCTCAACATTGCCAGAAAGTATGTTACTAGAGATTGTGCAGTGAAACTCTGATACAACGAACTCTTATTCAACAAAAGATCGGATTCAACGAAAGGAGAGAGATTACCCTTTTTTCAAATTCATTAAAACCAAAAAAATAACTCATATTCAGCGAACTCATAAAGGAGCAATCTTGGATATATTTAACATAAGAAATACGCAGATTCCACAAAATGGAAGGTCAGGCCTGACGACTTCATTATATCCGAGTTCCACTGCATTTCACAAAAGTCGCTTTTTTAAATATATACATTATTTTAGTATTTTTCTTACACCGTTGTTAATTTAAGAACTTAAGTACATATATTATGTACAGCCAGGAACAGATAATACGAAATTGAAAAACTGGAATTCAGGGATAGCTGGTACAATTTGACTTTCCCGATATCTTTTTCATTTTTCATTTTCAGTAACCCAAATTTTGGATTTTTTTGTTTGAGTTATCCGTTCCCAACTCTTTGTTGTCTCTCAATTTGCAGTCTCAACAAAGTACAATAATTGCTTGTAGTAATAATGTTTTATGAAGTTCTTTTGTCCCTGCAGTGTCAAAAGGTAAAGTACAGATAAGAAAACGAAATGATTAATATTATTGATTTTAAAAAATCCTCATCAAATGAATGAATGAATTATGATAACTAACAGGATAACTTGATTACATGCACTGCAGATCCAAGGTTCCACATTTTAGCTGATCATGATAATTTTATGTTATGTTTTTAATGTTATCAGTTAAATGAGAATTTTTGTGGAGAAAACTGACCATTTTATATGTACATAACTCGTCTGATTTTTGAAGAAGCTCATTTTCGGGGGGGGGGGGGGGGGGGGGCTTCCACGGTGGGTGGGGTGTGAGTTGGAGTAAGAGCAAATGGATAAATCCCTATTCAGCAAGAGACACTGCCCCTGTATTGTGCTCATCAATTGTCAGAATTCATAGTATGGGCCAGAATCGTAGTACATGTATGTGTGGTTTAATAAATGTATTGTTTTATTACTTTGGTAAATATTCCAAACATAAATCTTTTTTTTTTTCTTTTTACTATTTTTTTTACAGTCGACTGGATGAAATATTCCTGGGATCTGGCTTGATGGTGAATGGTAGCACAATGACCAAGAAGTCAGAAAAGGTGATGGGCAACTTCACATTTAAGTTTAAGGCTATTCTCATTTGTGATTTGAATTTTTTTTTTTATGGTAAAGATGTTTATATTTAAATTCTTTTTAAAAGTTTTTATCAAATAAACCCTCATAATGCTGATATGTAACATAACAAAAATGAACGTAAGAAAAATAAATATACAACTTTTTGGCTGCTGTTGTACTACACTTTCATGGGTCATCATTATGAGAAAGTTACATTTTTTTGCAACATAATTTTGGGTGTATGAGGGTTTTTTTCCTCCATCTTGTCTGTAAAGCTCAGTCTGTTGCAAGAAAATGGAGAAAAATGATGTAAGAATAAGAAAGGGGAATGACCTACTTTTGATGCTAACGAGGACCTAAAAAGAACAAATTGGTGGTCTGCCTGTCAAGACATGTATTCAAATTCAGTTTGATTCCACTCCACAGATGGATGAAGGAGACTATGTTGATGTCATCTCAGCCAAAATGGATGACCAACTCAAGGTCAAAAGGGTCAAAGTCATCAAAGTATATCCGGAAAAAACTGGGACAGGAAAATTTGTTGTTAAAATTAGAGTGTGGAAATCTCCCTTCCTTATTGATGCCCCAAGTAAAAGATGACATGGAAGTTGTAGATAAATGTATAGTAACATGTTTCTATCTTTTGCTTGAGTTTTTTTTAGAATAGAGCTTTCACAATACTACTGTGACCAGAAATACTCAAGTGAAGTCAAAACTGTCCAAGAAGGAATCGCTAGGGAGTCAGAAAAGATTTTGTATTCAAGAGTCGCCTGTCCGGCTGGCAAGCAGTGGTCAAAACTTCTCTCATTCAGAGTGTTATCCTTGTGGCTCTAATAATTGCATGCATCAGTGTTACTTATCCATTGTTATCAGTGCTTGCATCTCGCCACTGTTTCAACTGTTTGACCAATTAAAATCAGAAACAATTGAAAGTTTCCTTGGTTTCCACCCTTAGCTCTACCCATCGATGCGGCAAGCATAATCAACCAATGTCACCCTTCCCTTGCACATAAGAACAATTCAGAGAACTTTTTCTGTGCTGGTCGCATAATCAGGTTGGCAGATTGCGGTCAAATTTCATACTTCTGAATACCCAGGAAAGTTTCTGTGCTGACACATCACTTGAGCACTTTGAAGATTGATTAGCAAGTCAGGTTTCACATACAAACCACTATGACCATAGGCGTTAAAAGGCTCACTTGGATCGGGTAACAACAGCTACCCCCACACCGCACCACTTCCCTCCTCCCTTGATCGGTGGTATGACATAAAGGTTGGAGCCAGTGGAACCAAGCCTAGTTGGGAGTTCTACTTTAAATCAAGTCTGAGTGGGCAAAATATTTTCCCTCTTTAACAGTTCAAAACCCTCCAAAATGAAAATGTATCGTGCACAGTAGAGTAATTTATCATATTGGGGGGGGGGTGTGGAGGAAGGGGGATGGTGGTGGTGGAGATTCTGTCATGATAGGTTTCTGTCTTGAGTAGGGTTCCAGCATGGCAGGTTTGACTATACTTTAGAACTCTAGTTGTGCGTCGTTTCGTGTGCAGGTTCACAGTTGCTTTTGTAAGTTTATAAAATGTAATGATGTGAACTGTCTTAACATATGCATAATATATTGACCCTGTGAGTTCTATGAAGTATATAGTACCACAGATGTTATTAGCCCATTTCATGTCCCAAAACTTTCCATGTTGATGAAACGTACAGCGCAGTCCGCTTAAACTGAATACAGTTAATCCGAAAAGAGCAGTAAACTATAAAAGAAAAGAAAATCCCCACTTCTTATTTAGCCTCTCTAAACCAAAGAAAATCACGCAAATTTCAGTTTCAGCGGACTCCATTGTATAATATCGTCACCCGAGAGCCATAAATCACTGACCATTTTCTATCGTCCTGATCTCCCCTCCTTCTTTTTGTGTTTGTTACTCCCTTGTAACTCATCTAATCTTCGGCACTTATATGACCTTATTGTGTTGCAAGTGCCGTAACACTCTTACTAAAACTGAAAACTTACCATTTTGGCCAAATATCAAAAATAGTGAAATTGAGGCACTCAGAATCGGATGGCATTCTGTCATTTCTATAGTATAAATTAAGGGAAGACCCGGGTCGGCGATCCAAGGCAATATCGATACAATTTTTCAAACTATCCAACTTTTGTTTTCTGGGGAAAAACATCCTTTGACATTTGTTCTATCGAGTCAAAATGAAAAAACTGTTGAAAAAACACCCTAAATGACCTAAGAGGGCATTTGAAAAGGGCAAATTTCTCTAAAATTCCTTTAAAAAATCCCTGTTTTTTCTGTTTTTCTCAAAATCTACTTTTTGACATATGTGACCTCCTGGGTGCAAAGAGTTTTCAAAAACTGCAGAAGCTAGAAGCTTCAAATTTGGTGTACAGGTGCTTTAAGATTGATTTTGGAGATCTATGAAAGGGAATTGGGAAATATTGGTAACTTGAAGAAATATTCAATTTTTTTGTGTAATATGTACCCCAAAATTTTGTCAACTGACTCGAGGGGGTCCAATGACTTTGGGCTCACTTTTTTAGTTTTAAAGATAGGTCAAAATCCTTACTTGGATCCCCAGTTCATATAGGTTTGTCCCTGTGTGCCAACTTTCAGGCTGATAATTCAATATTTACTATGAAATTCTTCTGCACTAAGAAACTGGTTTGAAAATCCAAGATGGCCGCCACAGAGACCCATTTTTCAGGAAAATTCAACTAATTCACCCCTAGTACATCCTATTTACCTATGAACTTCTTGCACAATTACATGAAATTGAATAAAAGTCATTCGTTTAGAAAATTTTTCCGGGAGTGTACGTCTCCCCTTAACACTCTGACGCCGGACCCCCCAAGACATTCTCAGGACTGGCCGATTACCCTCTGGCGCCCGATCCTGTGACCCCCACGAAACCAGCTTTATAATTGTTCGCACTTTTCGTTATCCCGAGAGAGCCTCGGGAATCGTCATCAGCGCTAGTGCATCCATTTCTTTCGTTTCAAGCGAAGTTTCCCGGAAGTAGGGGTAGAATTTTTTTTAGTACAAACTTTTTGGGGATGTCACTCAGGATATTACAAACGTCAGTTCTAGGGAAAATGGCTGCCCCCAAGCAGACTTCGAGAGTACATGTACACAGCAAACCTAGAAACATTTTTGATGTTTTCAATGAGTATAGTTCTTCAGAAAGTGAACTTAGCGATCATAATGATCCAGAATTTGTGCCCGAGATGCGCAAAAGGCCTGACAGTGATATTTCAGTTAGTAAAGATGTAACTTGAAGTAGATCTGGTGTGAGTAAAGGGAAGGGTAAAGCTAAAAAAAATTCTTAAGAAAACCGAAATTCATGTGCCTTTCAAAAATTCATTTTTTTTAAAGTATAAAAGATACAGCATTCAAAATTGTTTTATTTGAAAGAACACAAATGTCTCTTACTCATGTGAAAAGGTCTGAGCAATTGAACAATTCTGAGTAAAGTTATGATTTTTTTAAATACCCCAAAAACCTGAGTCTTCAGTGAGTTAAATAAAACTGATCCACCCAGTAGTTTGCCACAATCACAATCTCCAATGTGACCATGCCCAAGTGTTTCTTGCCATAAAAATACATTTTGCTCAAAAACTGAGAATCTGGACAAGCCTCTTCTAGCTTTTACTTTTAGGCTGTGATATATTCATCATAATTACAAAAGCTGAATTTACTAAATGCATTGAAAATTTGTTTGTTTCTCAACTGTAATATTGTGAAAAAGAATTTTCATTATCAAATTCTGTATTTAAATTTATCCCACTGATCTTCACATGGATGCATAGCAAACATATCGGTTTATGTTGGAAAGAATATGATTGGTTTCATTACTCGAGCTCCCGGCAACTGACATAAAAGATATAATATCAATTACATTTAGAGACAACCGTGAAAGTGTCACAGTCAGTTATCATAATCAAAATTGAATGGAAATTTAATTTACATCATATTATTTCGTATTAGGGCTATTTGTGTACAGTAAAATGTGAGATTTTTCGTTTTGTTTTTCATTGTAGCATTTTTGAGTAATGAAAATGCAAGGTATGACTTTTTCTGTATTATGTGTGCTAAAGGTTTTTGAACCTAATAAATATAATGTAACCAGTTGTTTCTCTCTTCTTCCTTCATTGTAATTTGTAATGCTAAAGTTAAACATTGCAGTAGATGTCCACAAATCAAGTACATCATTCAGTCACCTGTACTTACGACCACTTCTGGCTTCCCTTTTGGGTTTTCTATTCAAATGACACTGTCCAAGACATCCACTTTTCTCTTAGACAATGGGTGGCCCTCATAGACAAAAGTTCTGCTGTACTTCGAGTTTGAGTAGCCTATCTCTATGTTTTGGTAGATTAAAACAAGTCGGGCCTTGAGGCTGACAAATGGTGTGTCTACTTCTTTTGTATGTTTGTCACTCTCTTGTGAACTGCGATTTCCAGGCTACCTTGATAGTTGAAGCAGACTTCGTGCTTTTGAGGCTAGAGAGGTGAACAGAGTAACTTCAGTAAGCCTGACAGGTCAGGCCTTGAGTTTGAGGCTGATAAATAATTGAAGAAACAGAAACAATCAGGTCAGGTCTTCAGGCTAAATTTTGTTTTTACCATGCCTTGCGCTGTTAAGGGCCTTAATGAGCCAATCTCAAAATAAGAAGATCAAGCAGCTCTTCTCTTCAAACCGGACTTTTGAAATACTGCTGAATACTTGTGCTACACAGCTGACAACATCCCTGCAGAAAGTCTGAGATACTCAATAAAAATTCACCAATGGCAAAGCACCCAATCGTTACATCACTGATACAACCAGAGTGAAGGTGGGAAAGAAAAATCAACATAAAGCATGTCTTTTGTAGAAGTAGAAGCACCTTTTGCAAGTATGCCACACCTTTCATCCTTTAAAATAACAATCACCAAAGCACACAAAACCACTGATATAATCTGGTAATTCTTTAATGAACGTCAGCATGTCAATGAGGCAGGTGGTAAAACTGGACAATACCCAAGATTAAAATCAAAACATTTTTACTTTATCTGTTGTTACAGTGAAAGGATGCTCAACTAATTATGGTCTTTTCCAAAAGTAAATATGCACATTCCTTTTATTATTACAAATACCTGTTTTCCTTAGTCTTTTTAAAACTGGTTTGTTCCATATTTTAACTCTATAAACTGGACTGCTTTGATGTATCATACACCAAAGCGCTGCACTTTTATGACAAATGCAAAGTACTAGGACTACTCTTAAAATTTTTAATCAATCACACAACCATTTATATAAAGTTGTAAGCAATGATCTTGTTGTAGAGTTCCATCACTTCTTTTATATTATGCTGTTTTAAAACAGTTAAACATGCGGCAAGGTCATGAAAATGTATAAGAACCAAAAATAAATATCTTCTGCCTTCAGACACTATAAACAATAGTAATGTTGAAAAGCTGACTGACTGAAAGCAAAATGAAAATGGGCTGAACTGAAAGCATTACTGCTATTCAAGCATATGTATTGCGGGATTTTCACAGAAGGGCTATCAGTTTGGAAGAAATTTTATGACCGCATAATCTTTTGAGCTTGCCCTTCTATTGTTACACACAACTCTCTGCCAGGCATCCACTAAATTGAAAAAAAAAATCCAACTTGAATTTACAACACAAATTAACAATTGTCCCACAAAGAACTCGTACATTTTGACACTCTGAAATTGCACTCAACAAGCAAAGTAAGTCGCAATATAATACAATTTCAACGTACAATTTTGCAACTCATATAAGCAAATGTCATGTTCACAGCATTCATCTTTCAGAGATTTCTGCACACTCCACCACACCATAGCTTTGACTTTGAGGGAGAAACATACACACTACACTGAGCCGAAATATGTTTAAAAAAAAAAAATATATAAAATAAATACATGTTTAGTCTATTTGATAACTTTTTTTTGCTGCCTTGCCCTGTAGATATCATTGACTGGTGCCGATGAATTCAAGTCCATGTCCTCATCATCGCTCTCAGTCTCAGTCACTTTCCTTTTTCGAGAACCACTTGCAATTTCTATAGACAGCCTGGTCCCAGCATCAAGACGGAAATCTCCATCTTTACCATTCTCTTCACCAACTGGGCCTGTACAGATACAGCAGAGAAAACATTACAAACTATCACTATCAAGCAAACAGGTAATACTTGACATCCCTCCAAAGCCCTTTATCCTCTCAGCAGAAACTTGCTAAACGCTTACAGTTCTAAGGGGATGGGGGAGACTTCACATTTGAACTAAATGTCTCAAACACATGTACAGGGTGATTAAAAAAAACAACAACTGTAAAACTTGTTTTTTAAATATCTTCCTCCATACTGAAGTTTTGCTTTTCATACTTGAAAATAACATTAGTAAGCCAAAAGGAATTTGTCTGATATTCATTTTAGATAAGTCCATTGAATGGTTTTGCTCTATATGGCGGATTAAAAAAACAATCTGTTTTCAACCTTGTCCCCATTTTTGTAGCATGACGCACCGGTTCGCTTTAGGCCTGCCACTAAAAGTCGCAATTATCGCGCCATATTGCAAGCTACAGCACTCTAACAAGTCAACAGTTGTCTACAGATATTATTTTTCCCATATTTCGTTTCCCTGCTGAGATCATGGTTAAGTTTAGTAAAGAGCCGGGAGTTTTTTGTATTGAACATTACATCTCCACAAACTCACCATCCCTGACATTTTGTAAGTTCTGCGCACAGCATGGAAAGAATGCTTAGGTGTCCTCAAGACCTGTTGGGTCGTGAGTACAGGAGTTCCGTCAGTTTGGATCTATAGCGAATCAGAATTAAAAATTTCCTTTAAAATGACCACTTCAGGTCGTACACGCACCGTGTGCAGCCCTCTAAACGTCAGCAAGGTGCAGATTTCAGTAGTCGAGTCCCATGAGACGCCTATCCGTAGACGATCTGCAGCTAGGACTTTCCTATAATACCATACCCCAAAAGTTCGCATTCTCAGGGAAGATCTTAATTAACGACAGGACCATTTTTATCTTCGCTAGGTCGAGATGACATGGATCAAAGCATGACAATGTGTCCATGGTTTCTCGATTGTCTTGAAAAGCGGGATCATTTCTTCGATGACATTTGGTTTAGTGAAAAGCCCATTTTCACCCTGCGGGATATGTGGAATCAAAAATTGCTGTCTATTGGGCACCCCACTCCTTATTTTCTCTAGAAGCCACTTCATAATGAATATGTACAGTGCATGGGGCTTTAACTCACTTACGACTGGGCCCTTTCACCAGTCACAAGCGTTGAAGACTGGCGTTTTTGGGGGTATTTCAATAAATCACAACAACTCTCAGAATTACCCTATTGTAATTATTTTTTGACACAATAAAGTAACATTCAAGCTTAATCTAATACAAAAAACTAAAGTTGTCTAAGTCTAATACTTTAATTTGTATGATTTTTAAAAAATTGGCATGAATTTGATTTTCCGAAAAATTTCCAGCGACGTCACAGGTAGAATGAAATTCACTACAACAACAAAAATAAAAGTTCAAAGTGTTCTGGTTTGATTTGTATCCATGTGCGAGTGTTCGGTGAAAATATAAAAGCTGGTCTGTGCATTGATTCAGACCCATACACTGAATTACATGAGACAGATGTACGGAACGACGTTGTGATTTCGTTGCGCGAAAAACAACACCAGTACAAGTGCTAGATCTAGCCCTAGAACTACGACTCGGGCCGTGTTCGGGTACATAACCAGGACCCTAACTATTAGACACATCAAATTCTGAGACACTAGAACTAGTAAAACGTACAGAAGTATAGAAAACGGCGAAATTATGTGATTCTTGTTCATGCGACTTCTTTGACCGTTACTACGACGCGACTGTCGGATTACTATCAGCTGTATAGAAAAAAACAAAGCGCGAGTTCCGGTCTGTTCAACCCCAGTTGGGGTCACTGTCCTTCACCTTCAATAACTTAAAAACTACCGGCCCCAGAGATACGAAACGAAGTCTAAGTACCTCAGGCTTGGCCAAACAAGGGTACGAGGCGGGTCTCGCGATCCGTGCATGATTTGTAGAGCGAAAAAAAAATTCCAAAGTTGGTCACGCAGGGCTTGTGTGAGCCGTCGCGAGCGTCGCGGTGGGGGTCACGCAACTGCTGTGTGAACCGTCTGAAGTGAGTTAAACACGCATGAGTTAGCAGGTCCTTTTGTTTGGGCGCCATTGAACATTTCAAACGACGCGGTTAAAAAAGGAGGGCATGTAGAGCACTGCTTCTAGAGATTCCAGAATGAAATCGATAGTTTTTAAACTTTGTAAAAGAAATTAAATATTGTTAAAATGTTACAGGGATGGAAAAATTAAATGTCAAAGATAAAATAAAGAAAAATGTCAACCAAATCTTTTCCAGACTTCCTTTAAAAGATTCTTTAAAAATGGTGAACTTTGCGTTTTTGGGTGCTTTTTTCTTTAAGAAATTTCCGTTTTCAAAATGTTTCTTTTTCGTGGATTTTTTGTCAAACAAATTCCTTTTGAATGAATTATATATGTTCCAAATTACAGCATACTGGAACAATTTTTGTGCGAGATATTCAGAAAAAAAGTTGTACAGTTGTTTTTTTATCACCCTGCACCTAAGTTGTGGAAAAGATAAATCTTACAAACACAGATAAAATTATTTGTTAACATTATCAAGATTCATCATAAAGAGCAAGTTCTGAAGCAGACAGCCATCACGGTTCGCCATTCATTTCTTTGCTCTGACACTCCAAAAATCTGTTATCCCGGTTTTTCCCTGTCCCGTATCTGTTCAGGTTCTCCAAACAAGTCCCTCTTGATTATCTGTGCCTCATTTGCCCAATCCTTCATTACTGAATCCCTTTTGTCTCATGCTGGTAGTTTTAGTAATGTTTTTAGAGCTTGAAATTTATTGCTTACATCAATAGAAAAAACATTCTTTTAATTTTTTATTTGTCTCCAAAAGATCTCTTTAAAATTTGTGTTGGTGCTTTGACTGTTTAATAAGTTTTTTAAGTTCAATTCTATCTGGATCTTACTCATGATTTTACTTTTACGCACTGACAATCCAAATTATTTACACAATTTTGAAGAGGATCTTAAATTGACAAGCTACAATACAAAGCAAGTGTCAAGGGTACAACGTTTGAGTACAAAGAAAAAAGGGCAAATGTTACAAAGTTTCTTACGTTCAGGCAGTTTGACTTGCATCATGAATTCCATCATCTTATCAATGATGACATTGGGACCCTGAGGACAAAACAAAATTTAAAAAAAATTTAAATGTACAATTCTTCATGAACACCAGACCTGCGACTCTATGAAATCTAAAAATCAGGATTTTTAGAGTTAAAAAATCAGGATCTGGTGAAAAAAATCGGGATCAACGGTAAATCAGTGATAAGGGGCAATGGGAGGGGGATCCTGGTTCTCTTTTATGAGGCATGTAATATGCAAGACAAAATTTTTGCAGGAATAAGTTCACATTTGGGCCTCTAAATAGAGGGAAAACTGAAAGACAGCATAGATCTATATGTACTCGAGTCGGAGTTTGATAGACTGGGGGAGCGCATGTTGCAGTAAACTCTTGCTGTCTTGAAAATAGCTGACACATAACTCTAATCATCCATGCAAAAAGCCCGCGTTTCCATACAGTAACAACGTTTGACTACTATCGCATATACACTCAAGGCATCCCCCCCCCCGAAAAAGAGATTGCGCCAAGGTTATTCATTTATTATTTTTTTCTTATTCCTTACACCTCAATTCGTACCTGTATCGACCGGTGTGAATAAACTTTGTTGACCCCAACAACCGACGGTCCCAGACACACACATTTCTCACATGTACGAGGTCAGGTCACGTGATGCGCATGAGCATTTGAAAGTGTCACTTACAGGTCTTGATGGGCATGACTAACCAGCACTCAGACCAAGCTTGCTTTTAAAGCAACGGCAGAACAACGAATAGATTATTCTTAGGCCCATGTCAGCATGCAGAAGAGTTAACGCTCAGATGCTACTGGGTCGATAACAGGCCCATGTCATAGTTGTTACAGTAATCAGGACACCATCGGAGAATTCTGGGTTATAAAAGCGAAAGTAGATCTTGAGCGTATCCAAGTCAGAATTCAAAATTGATACTACGTCGAATTTAGTTGAAATAATGTGCATGATTCATCTACTAGATTCGGTATAGATGCTTTAGAAAATAGCGTTCCACGTTCCTGCCAAGAAAAAGTCCAATCGGTGCTTCTAAGCAAAAGAGATTGCAGAACTTTTAAATATTTTATCTAAGAATCGGATGCAACAGACGCAACGACAAAAAATCAGGATACTGGCGATCGAAATCGGGAAAATCGGGATGCTTGAGATATGGGGCACAAAATCGGGATATCCCGATTAAATCGGGATGAGTGGCAGGTCTGATGAACACAACTCAAAAATGTCCTATTCTTTCCAAGATTACCAAGGATGTCACAAACTTTGTCCTCTATATATTTTTTTTACAATCGATCAAAAACAGTGAAGAATCTGTAAAAATAAGAATCAACCATTTGTTTAAAGCTAGCACAGGTGATCAGTCTTAGATGTAGAGATTTTAATTTCAAACGGACAATAAACAAGTGAACAAGTCTTAATAAAGTAAAACCATTGCATGAGTTGAGACTTGAACAACAGCTTGTTTTCTACACTAAATCCAATAAGCAGCTTCATAAAAGTATAAAGCAACAAACTATGACAGCTTTTACTAAAAATGGGCTGCATGAAAACAAAGCAATTTTTCAGTATTGTAGATAAAACCTGTACAATATATCACTATTTTTGCATTCATACAGCTTATTGCCTTAAACGAAGCCCAAAGTTCAACAGTATAACCTCAAGATAATTTGAAAATCTGGGTCATTCTCTTTAAGAAGAGGTAACACTGAAAACTAGAGAAAAGGAGTAGACCACCTACACTCACCTACCCATCCATCCACACACACACACACACAAACACAGGGGGCTCTCGTGGCCTAGAGGTTAAGGTGTTGGCCTCTCATTCAAAGGTCCCGGGTTCGAATCCGGGTAGCGACCAAACAATTTTCTTCTCTAAAATTGTCTCCTTTCACCTCCTTTCCTGCTCTCTAGCAATGTTCTGTTGTCTGCTTTCATTTCCACTTTCTGCCCCCATCCCCTCACCTCCTTTGCCCCCTCTTCTGGGCTCCTGACTCTTTCTGCAGCCTTTCTACTGCTACTCCTTGGCCCCCCCTTACCGCTGTCTTTCTGCCACACCCCTGATCTTCTGGTAGGAAAGATCTACATCTAGCCTTCTTGGACAAGGGCGAAAAATCTCGGAGGGCCCGTGTGCAAGTTGCGCACGTTAAAGATCCCTTGGTGGTCTAAAATCGATAAGAGTAGGCTTCGGCCGCCACCCGGGCAAAATTCAAAATTTCCTACCAACTGAAAATATTAGGTGTGTCCCGCGCGCTCATATGACCTATGCAGTTGCGAGCGCCGTAAAACACTTTACAAAAACAAAACAAAAACACAAACACACTGTAAACTTAATAAAAAGGAGTAGTAGACCATCCACTCCTATACACTCACACACAAACACACTGAAAACTAACTAAAAGAAGCAGACCATCCATTCCTACACACCCACCTTTCCACCCACAAACACACTGAAAACTAAATAAAAGGAGTAGATCACCCACCCACACACAAACACTTCTCTGGTTACTTTTACTTTTACTTACCCGGAAACACTCTGGTGGAGGCAGCACTTGCAGCAGGACAGACGCGGCTGGTGGAGGGGGGAACACACCACCAGGGACGGGGTGAGCAGCTGTAGCTGTATTCCCAGAGGAAAACAATGGATGTCAGTGTCAGTACCCGGGAGGAGGGGAGGAGAGGAGACGTAAAAAAATACGTCCACGAATTATATAACCTAACAAAACATCGTCGACTGCACCTGTCACAAAAAGAATACTGGACCCTTATATAATTTTGGAGAAAATGGACAAGTTGTAGCCCCAAAGAAAGACCAGAACAAAGTCTTAACACTTCTACTAAATGAGCATCTGAGCCTTTGTCTTTGAAAGAGAGATGGAAGACGACATTCTCATCATCCCTTAGAAGTCTGGACACTACTGTTTGTAATTGATAAGGGAATAAAAAGGCTTGTGGCTTCACCTAAAGGCAAAGGGGAACTGGGGGGGTCCCCATTCAAATATCACTGCTGTCACAAGGAAAATTAGTACTTCCACAAAGTTTTTCACATACCCACTCAAACTTGGTTGTAATGAGTTGCTCAATTTTCATGCATGCCATAGGAACCATATCAAATTTTAAAAAGCAACATAGAAAACACAATAACCCCATGACACTGGCCAGAAGAAAATAATAAAATGTAGAGGTGTTTTTAACACCCTATTAGAAACATTTTAGATCATGTAAGTGGGCTTCTGACCCTGCCAGTCAGGACCAACCTCGGCTGACAGGAATAAATACAGCATCCCAGCTGAAAGGCCGAGATATTCATGCGTCTCTTCGGTGGGACAGCGAAGCACCTAGCTGCTACACCACAGACGCTTGTACCCTGGCAAGAGAGATATGAATTAAAGCGAAAGAACTTACGAACAACAGCCCTGGGCTTGAAGGGCAGCATCTGCTCCACATCTGGCTGAGGGTAGCGAGGCCTCTTGGCTTTCTCACTCTCATCATCTTGTGTAGCCAGCAGAGCTTGCTTAGCACTGGTCGCCGGCAGCTGGACTAGGTGATGTTTGACCAGGTCCTGGGGAGAAGCATAATCAGGTCATAGACATGACACAATGGCTCGACAGTGTGGAATAAGCAGCAAACAGGGAAACCATCTACTGTACTACAACAAGCTTGCCCTATGCTTGAGGCACATAGAAGGAAATATTGGCCCAATCCCATACAGGGAGACCGAAAATTTTTAAGGCATCTGGAGGATCTGCGGTGAACAGAAGCCTTCACACTAGAAACTGGGATGTCCATTTAGACAAAAAAACAAGAAGACCAAGACCAAGATGAAAAAAAAAGAAGACACAATAGCCCAAGCCATTTTAAAAATCTGTTTCTAGTCTAGTTATTGATATGGTAAAAATACCTGTCACTTGTATCCTATCCTCAATAAAGTAGGGTTTTGTATTGCATTCTAAAAATCCAAAACTATGAGATATTTTCACTTTTGTCCTAGTCATAAAACAACTTAGGTAAGCACTGTTTTTTTTTTTACAGTTTTCTCAATTGGCTTTAGTACTTATTATGACCAGGACGGTTAGCTGTTATTATCAACCTTCTTCAATAGTGAGTGCATTTTCCATGGGTAAGGGTGAGGAAATACTATTCAAACGGTACACAAGGATTTTCATGTAATCCCACACAGCATACCTTTACAGCGGCAGCAAAAACAACAAATACAAGAAAATAAATACTCAGTAACATCAGCCTTCTATGAAAAGAAATTCTCACAAAAAAAGAAACAGGCAAAGATATGACCTTTGGAAACACACCCTTCAAAGTACACATAACAGCACTGTGGAATTCTGCTGTAAAGCAACCACAGGGTACAAAAATATCTTTTTGAGATTCTGTTTCAACAAAAGGGATAAAAGATAGATAAAAATACTACTTTCACTTCGGTGACCTACAAGAGACCCAAAGTCTTTTCGCTAGATCTCGGGATGTTTGAGAACTTTGTAACCAGCATCATACTAATTAAATTAAATAAAGATGTCTCGATGTAGTTCTCATATTTTCTGTCTTCAATAATTTATTTTTGGTGTTTTTTTCTGTCACATTCAGTGAGCACAATTGTTTTCCGAAATTGAGAATTGGGGTATTTAAAAATTTCGTAGGAAATTTTTTTACAGATAACTTAGTAAAGGAGAAATGCATCATTATTTGAGCCAATAATGAAGCCAGTAGCTTAATATTTACAGTCCAGAAAACTTTTTCAAAAATTGTGAAAATGGCCAGTACTGAGAGCCCATCGAGATTCCCAACCGGCCACAGTTCAATAAGCTTAGAGGTAAGGACCTGAGGATATATAATATTATGATACCTATCTTTCATAGAGTCAAGTAGATGTGAGCCCTGAAAAGTCTTCAAACGACTCAAGTTCAAGAAAGCTCCACTTGGTCATCTACATAGTCATTACCCCAGCACGATACCAATAAGTCCTCCCCCCCCTCCCCCTCCTCCCTTCAAAGTGTGCCGATCACATTCAGAGCATACATACATACAAAATAAAATACACCGATGAACAGATTTAGCAATGCAGGGAATACCAAAGAGTAGAAAATGTTCAAAGAGGAGGGAGAAATATTAAAACACCTACCCAGTAGCCGATAGCTCTCAACTCATTGTCAGCACACGGTAGAAGTCCCAGAAACTTGTAGCGATCTATGAGTAGTGCTGTTTCCTTTTCATTGAACTCCTGGATCTATGTGAGGAGGAAGAAAACAAAGAAATAAAAAGACTGATTGATTTACTTGTTTTAGTATGAGTTTTTAACTCACCGAGCACCGCTCCCACAGCATACGCGGGTTCAACTATAATTGACTATAAAAGTAAACCCAGCAGTTTAAAAATGCTTGCAAATAGCCCCAGTTGTTTAAACAGGATATCGACAAGCTAGTTCTTAGTGGTTTGTGTATATTCACCACTTTTAGTGCGAATAAACAGATTATTTGTCCAACAGACTGAACAACTGAAAGTAAGGAACTTCCGCGCAGTTTGTTGTCGAAGCATGGCACGGCGTAGTGCGTCAAAGTTTATTGAAACTCTTGATAATTTTGGTGAAAATTTAAGTGACAGTGAAGTATCAGATAGATAACTTCATAAAGAAAAATGTGAATTTGCCTAGCAGTGATGAAGATGATTGAGAAAATGACATTAGACCTACATCTAGGTCTAGACCAAAACATCGTCTATCGATCGTGAATCTGACTTATCAGCGAGTACGCAGCCGGCTGGGGATGATGATAGATCTAGCCCCAGTACTAAACTCTAGTTCAAATCAGCCCTCAAAGTGGAGAGATGATATATATAATCAGACTTGGAACATCTAATGACAAGTCTAGTTCTAGCACTAGCAGCACTGACAATGAAAACACTTCTCAGCCTGTCACCAAGGAAGATCTAGATCTATATTTTTCAAAATTTTTCAAAATTAATTACCACTTACATATTGTTCAGGCTACTTTACTGTACACACAAACACACACTGCCACAACCATTTTGTGTAAGTTTATTAGATTTCTGCTGTGTCACATCATTTCCTTTTTTAATTTTTTCTGGGGCAAATTTGTCCAAACTGTCTGTCCTATACATTCTTTGGTCATTCATCCTTCACAGAATGTGTTTATTGTGTCTGTTGAACCCATATCTTATTAAACAGAACAGAAAATTTCAAAGAAATAGCAGTTCATTTCAATTTTTTAATGAATTTTCAAATAGTGGGGGAAATGGGTGGTCCCCTGGGGCTTGGAGGCAAATCGGGGCGTGGCGTGGTGCTCAGTGAGTTAAGGCAGTTGCAACACAATTTAAGAGCTGAAGATTAGAGGTGTTACAAGGGAGTAACAAACATAAAAAAGAAAGGAGAGATAAGGACGATAGATGTTTGATAGGAAAGAAGGAGAAAACCACACCAGAGCACCTGCCAACCACCCACACTGACTTCATTGCTCTACCTGATAACTAATTAGAGTGGCAAAGAAAAAAAAACGAGAAAGCTTCACTGGTTTACCTAATTGCAGGATATGAAGACGTTGTTAATTCAGAAAGTGATGACATAGGCAGCATCAGAAGCCGAAGTTTGACCCAATCTAGTTGTTTCAAGTTAACTGACAGCAGAGCAGGAATATTATGCACAGCGGCTAAGACTTTTCCCCCAAACCAGGAAAGTCTCGAAGGAAGGAGAAGCTTGGGGAGAGGGTGAGAACTGAACTTATGTTCTCAATATAGTGTATTTTGGGCTAGAGCGGGTGTTGTGGTGAGATCATTAGAGAGGTTTCAAGAAACCTGCGTCCTAAATGATCCAAATACAATTTTTACAATCCTAACAACAAAAAAAACTGTCATAAAAAGAAGAGCAAAGTCCAGGTCAATTATCTCCAAAAGTATGCAGCAAACTGCTGGGATGAGGCCAAAAACTAATCATAAAAACTTACCTTTTCAATTGTGGATGTTCTTCTCTTTTCAACCTTGATGATACTCGCAAGATCTCCAACTTGAGACTCAAATGACAAAAACTTGCTCCAAATATCACTGAATAGATAGAATAAATCAAATTTCATCCATGAAATTAGTAGATTTCAGAACAACTTGAAATTGTCCAGTTAAGTTCATTTTACATCGAAATCATGAATATGTCTTGAAAGAAAGAAGGGGAAAAAAAAAGAAGAAAGATAGCACAATTGTATTCAACCCTTCTTTTAGAAAGTCTGTACCACAATGGCAAAAACAAAGATACACAGACTTCAATAAATATACATGATAAAGTAACAACAAAAAATTAGAAATGCACACAAAACCCTTCGAGCAATGCTCTGTTCTCTTCCCACTATAATGAAAGAATACAATTAGAAACAAGAACAGATGAGCAACACAAAAAAAGCAGAACTTATACTCGGGCACCTACAGAAAAAGAAAATACCTTTTTACCCTTTGGTTAGACCCGGGAAATTCAGAAAAGACAGTAGCTCTAAAGAGCATATCATCATATATATGTGTCAGGGCGGAGTGGAATCAGGCGCTCGTCAATTTTTAGGCATGTGGAGTTATTGGTATCATCCGAAAGCTGATTTATTTGCCTCACTTCCAATGAAAGAAATATCCATCTATCTAGGATAGAAGTCATGATATTTGCGATTGAAGGAAGTGATGTAGCCTGGTTTCAGAGGGGAAATTAGTGAGAAAATGGCCGCCAAAGTTTGGTAACTCCAACACCGGTAGCTAAAGAGTCTTTGAAAACTGGAAACTGACATAATTTGTGCCTTTAATCAATATTTTTCAGTATATTTTTCAGTAAAATTCACACCCCTATACTACTATATACTAAAATTCACATGGAAATGTCTTTTTAAATTGATGTTAAAGAGGCTACGCCAAAAAATAAAAATTAGATGAAAATGTCCAAACTGGCGAGAGAATGCCTGTTTTTCCAATTTCGTTATTTTGACGAGCGCCTGATTTCATCACGTTGCCTCACATATACTAATGCACTCGTGGAAGGACAGAAAAAATCAGAGAGCAGAAATACAAAAAGTACAAGATAAAGACAAACTTTATGCAATTGTCGAGAATAAACAGTCAAAGTTTTAAAAAGAGCAAAAGGATTGTCAGGCATAAGAAAATCAAAGAATTTAAGCAGGACTAACATTTAACAAGAAGGGCGATTTCAGCAAATGGGAGTTTTAATAATTACACTTTCAACGTGATACTTTGCATATTTGTGCTCTGTATCTCTAGTTTCAAAATAACACATGCAGCACAACGTTTTCTTTTTCCCAATCTCTGCAAATACGATAGATAAGTAAGCTGAACCAAACAGTAGCAAATACTCACGTAGACTTTTCAGGCAGCAGTTGATCTGACGATAGAATCCTCTCAAATAGAACTCTTGTGTTGTTGTCCTCTACAAAGATAGATAGAAAGTCACCATGTTACAAGAAATGTCTTTGTTTTAGTAAGCATTTTACAGTACTTGCAACACAATTAGGTCATATTAGTGCTAAAGATTACAGGAGTGATAAGAGAGTAACAAACACAAAAAAAAAGGGGGGAGAGATAAGATTAATAGATGTCCGATAGCAAAAAAGGAGCTAACCACAAACCAGAGCACCTGCCAACCACCCATATGTTAAAAGAAAGACATCACAGCTAATCAGAACATCAGCATACACATTATATTCATCAATCTTGTCACATGAGATATCAAGACGAAGAGTATAGCAAGTGGGCAAGCATTCTGTAAAATGTTTGAGCGCCTCAGAAACAGCAATGATACACTCCTATAATTTTCAATGGGCCAAGAGTATTCTTTCTTTAAACATTAGAATGACAGAAGGACAGAACACAATTAGAGCTTTTAATTAACCATCTGCTACCAAAAGAAAGATTGGACCAATCTGTGATTTCAAAAGACAGGACAATTCAACAGATTGTGGAAAGTGCAGTACTAACTGATATGTGGGGTTTTTTCTCACACCGGGACATAATAGGACTTCAGGGCTTTCCTGTCATCTTTCTTTCTCAAAACTCGGCTGGACCATCAAAGACAGTTGATGTGCTAAGACAAACAGTAATGCAACCCCCCCATCCATATCAAAAAGCAAACATACGAGTACCTAGCCTTTCAAATAACGTTAACTAATAAGCAAGTGCTGCTGCTGGCCACATCTCTTCTTTCCCTTATGTACAGTATTTTCTCGTATGTACAGTGTCTGCCCCATCCCAAACCACATGGTTTCTCATCAACCTCCAACAGCTGTCTATATAGAGCCATGCCTAAACTAGTTGAGTATATTCCAGCAGCGAATGATTTCATTGCCATTACAGTGCTTCCATCAGCTGAAGCTGAAAAGTAAGGAAAATTCTACAGGGGGTCTGGGGGCCGCAGAGGCCCCCAGCAGGGTCCAGGGACAGCATCCCGGGTGGGGGATCAGGGGGCGAAGCCCCCGAAGAAATTGAAATTTAGTGCTTTTAGAGGGTTGGAAATGGCATTTGGGAGCCTGTTTGAAGATATTGCATACAGCCCATAATATTTATTTTTTCACCAACATTTTGTCTTGTTTGACTTCATCGCCAGCATATCTTTCCAATGCTGGAAATGTTTAAAAGCAGGTTCCCCTTTCATTGCTACCATAATTCAATTAATTTGTAGTCGCACCATTGACAGCAGGCAAACCTGGGAATAATGAATAGATCTAGATGTACCTTCAAAATACGGTTGCGCAGCGTATACCCACATTTTTTCTAAATTTTCATGTCTGAAAGTCGCCTGTCACAACCTCAGAACACCACTTCGAATTATTCTTGATTTTATACGCGGTGCTCACTATGGACGGGATCGGCCGATCGGGTCGATCGCCCGACCCGATCGCCTAAAAAACAAACGTGTTTGTTTTCAGTTTCAAAGCAAACACGGTTGTTCGACCGAGTCGGGCGATCAGCGCAATCGGCCGATCCCATCCGTAGTGGGCACGAACGTATCAGCATATATTTCTTTCATCGCGGCCCTTATATTGCGTTCACGTGCCGTAGAATCTTCTAGCTAAAATTTGCAAAAGCTTCTTTCCGACAGTAATTTTCTGTCTAAGATCAAAATCAGTCTTGATCAACGCGCAGATTTTCCAGCCGCGGCAACAATCCGAAGATAGACAGAAGGAATGAGTGAATGACAGAAAGGAGGAAGTTGGCACAAAAGGTTCGCCAGATTTTGATCCATCTGCAGGTAAAAAATGTACTGCCGACCAACACGCAATGAATGCATGGGACTGGGACATAGCCGTATAATGTCCGATTGCAGGAAATGCGCAATTTGGCAGGTTTCTATAACGTTAACTTGTTGCCGAGAGAATTACCGTAAATATCCGCACCTTATAACAAGACGATACGGAGGCGAGTACGGAATTTCGGCAGTCCTGCACTGTCGCAGTTTTTTTTACGGAGGGAGTAGATAATGATGGAGGGGCAAGTAGTGAACTGGCAGAAAGTACGGATTTCCGTAAAAATACGGAAGAGTGGAAGCATTAGTTAGTTAGTAAAGTTCTTATTTTTTTTAAAGAAACATGTAAAACCACATTTTATCACCTTTTGAACTTTATTCATGCTGATTAAACAAATCGTTATACACATGTTGTGTGCTAACAAAAGTGTAGAAATAAAACAATAAGTAAAAAAAAAACCTGCCATTCAACAGAATAGATTGTCAAAATCACCACCCATTCGTCATGAATCAATATATATAAAAAGGGCTAAATCCTAAACTTAAGCATGAACAGAAAAATACCAGCAGATAAAATTCAAAACCACTTGGAAGAGAAGAATGGGAAAAGTCTTACCATTGAGGTGTGACATGAAGTCAATGTAACAAGCAGCGTATTCTGGGTTGTCCCCAAACCTTTTGAGACCCAGCTCAAATATCTTGAGGGCAATGTTCTTCTCCTGAAAAAATAACACGAAGTACAGTATTTTCATTATGATATTTAAAGTAGACAAAAACAAGATACTAGTTGCCCAGGGGCCCAGAAAGGTAGTTATCATCTAAAAATAATTTGTCAATCAATCAAACAGTAGGTCTGATCATTATATTCTATACATAATCAAAGGTCATCATAGACCAATTCTCTTGAAGGGTATATATAAAGACATCTTTCTTTTTCCAATTCTTTTAGTCTTATACCATAAACTTTAAGCATAGACAACACTATAAATTACCACACAAAAACTAGTCAAATACAAAAAACAGTGAAAAATAAAATCGGAAAACGACGCATTGTGCCAACTCACCACAGAGGATTAGTTGACTGTTGAATGAATACAGGATAATTTTTTTTTTTAAAACAACATATAAAACACAAGCAATATCAGTATGACAGCTTTCAGACGAACAAACACAATGAAAAGTCCTTAAGCAAGACATATTAACCAGAGCTAAAATATAAAAACTAATCCCCCACTACAGCCACTAGATAAGGTGAAATTTAAAGTTGTTTTTGTTTTTTCTTTGTGGTTTTTTTTTTGCTTTACACTGATGTTTATGTAAAGTAGAAAACAAATCTCACGACAGTCTTTAATCTAACCCCCCCCCCCCCCCCCCCATTTCATTACAGTAGCACTCCATGAAAATCTCACAGCAGTGACTAATGTTGGCTTTGTTTTAAACCTTCCTCAGACTCACCTTACTACAGTAGTACTCCATGAGAGCCGCAGAGACGTACACATGGTACTGCGATCGTGTGTCTTCCCGAGCAGCTTTGAACACATTTCTTGCCGACTTGATTCCCTCAGCTCGCCGTGCAAACTTCATATACTGGATAAATGCCTGCAGGCAAAATGAAAATATGAAAATACACAAACAGTTGCAAACAAAATCTAGAGAGTCAAAATTGCTGTTCCTATTTTTTATTTCTTTTCACAAACATGAAAAGACAGAGACAATATAAGAAAACAGAACAAATATTGTCAAAGAATCCAAAGCTATTTCTTTTCTCTATAGCATCTAGACTATCATATAAAATATATAATCGTCAGCCATATATACATACCTATGGCAATCCCAAGTGAACATGAACACCTTTGAGTGTGTGTGTGTGTGCGTGTGTGTGTATGCATGTGTGTATGTTTATTCTTAAAGCGAGAGTACAGACACAATCCCTCTACCAAGGAAGATTATCATCACTAAGGTATAAACGTATAAGGTGAAATTTGATTGTGTACGATTTCTGTAACTATGAGCCGTGTCCTAAATTATATTTTACACCTGTTACAGTACACTATCACATTTTATGCGTCCAAAACAGAACAAAAGAAATAGAAGAATAAAGTACACATAAGTAAGAACACAGTTATATAAGAAAAAACAAAATCAATATAAAAAACAAAAAAATCCAAGTTCATACCAATGTGGGTTTGATGTCTTCCACTGCCAAGAACTTCTTGTATATTTGATGAACCTTCTCAAATTTGACACGACCCTGAAAAGCAACAAAATTAACTTAAAATTTTTTTTAAAATCAAAAATGTTTTAGCGTTAGTAGAGGTTTTACGGCGCTTGCAACTGTATAAGGTCATATGAGCGCCAGAAGATAAGAGGTGTTACAAGAGAGTAACAAACATAAAAGAGAAGGAAGGGAGATAAGGACGATAGATGTTTGATAGGAAAGAAGAAGAAAAACCACACCTGAGCACCCGCCAACCACCCACCAAAAATGTGCGACAAGAGCCAAAAGAACAAAAAAATATTGCTTTAGAAATTTCCTCAATACAAGTAAGTTTGAAAGCCAGAGAGTGAACAACAATAAACCGATAGAAAACAGCTGGCAAAATACATAAAGGACTGACATCACCATGACAAACAGTGCAGGTGCAGCAACAAAAGAGGGAACAAAGTAGAGTAACTGACATGTAAAGAAAGAGTTATCACACGTGTGGAGTGTCACAGAAAAAAGGACAGGAATTTATCAATCAGGGACTTGTACCTTACTGCACACTGTGCCAGCATTGTCACAACTTTTTCTATGACCAACATGTAAGTACCGCATACAATAAGCACAAAGAAAGGCACTATAATCCGTGCTACTGAGAAGGAAAAAAAACATGTTTAATGAAAAGATTCTCCTTTTATTTTCAGGCTCATATTGAAAATGTAATTCACAAAGAAAAATGTCAAGAGTAGTTCACATTAAGAGAAATCAGTAGCAAAATATTCTGAAATAAGTATTTCCAACAAGACTGCAGAAATGAAAAAGATCAAATACACCTCAATCATGCACAAATGCATTATAACAAATTAGAATACCTCTTCAAAATCTGCATATGCAAAGTAAATCAGCATATTTTTCTTCATGAGGGAGTTAATGGCTCTTTCATAAATGGCAGCAGCTTCATCAGCAAACAGTTTCCCAGCATTCTGGTCCTGAAAGATATAAGAATCCCGTATAAATCATCTTTCCACATCACATCTGACACATAAACTTTTTATATCAAAACTTGTGAAAAATTGCACTGCACAGAGAAAGCCCTCACAGTGAAATCAGAATGATTTGGTAATCTATTCTAGCCTTGAAGAATCTTTTTTAGAGTCTTGATTCATGACTTTTCCAGACACACCAAAATGATTTTTTTTAAAGTATAACCCAGACACTTGTAGATATATTAACACTATTTATGATGTGATTGGCTTTTGTATAAGGACTGCCACCATGGGTCAGTGTTTTAACATAATTTCTTTTTTAAAATCTGACTGCAAATTTAATAAATAACAATTTGCATACCAAAAAACATCACTTTAAAACATTTTGAACCCCATTGGGATGCTTAAATTTCAGCATAATTCTAAGAGAATACAGCAAGTTACACTGAACCGCCCCAAAAAAAAGAATCACATTGCACAACTGTAAGTAAAAGCAGTTTCTTTATCAACTTCAGCTGCTTTTTAAAAATATTCTTTAGGCTTTAACCAAACATCTGAAAAACATTACATTACAAATCAACTGCTTAGTGGAAGACTGCCATACACTATTTTGAAAAGTGACATATCACAGTCTTACACCGAGCAGTCAAAATATGAAGGCACAAAACAACATACTAAAGTAGAAAACAAACTGTTCTACTTTCACTTTTGTAAATGTCAACAGAAAAAAACCCCCTCTAATGTTTCCATCTACTTTCTCAAACAAAAAATGGAAGCTTACCCCTTTCTCCATCAAGATTTTGCTGGACTGGTCAAGGTATGACGCTGCTTCAATCCAAATGTCCGGGTGGTGACCCAGACAGAGTAGACACTGTTCGTAGGCAAACATCACTAGGATAGAACCAAGGGCGGGGGTTAAAAGGGCACAGAGGGATCAAGCGAAAACAATGGTTATCGAAGAGCCGATTAACGCATAGCAGAAACAAACAAAAAAGTTGCCTGTTACCAACTTTCAAAATATGATGCACTGACTTAAAAAATCAATTACAGTAGTCTCCGCCTAAGATCCCATTGCTTATGGTCCCGGTTCGTCTAAGATCCCGCTGTTTTGGAAAAACAGAATTTTTACTATATAAAAGTCACCCCTAAGATCCCGTTTTCCCGACCATTGTTCTCGTCTTTCAGTTTTGCGCTCTAAATTCCTAGACAGACTGGTGCCCATACTCATGGACTGTCTGATCGCCTCTGCGTAATTAAAAGTTGTTTTTTTAATTTGGACGGTGTGGTCACAACACAACGATTTATGATGCATCATGACATGGGCGGAGTACTCCGATAGAGATGGAAAGCTATAAACTTTTAGTGGGGGCATTGCTTGAAGCCAACTGGTACCCACCTGACATGCTATTTTTTTTAAAGCCCCAAAAGCCCCATCCCCCACCCCCAAACCAAAAAAAAAGGGAAAACTAATTTCTGAAAAACTTTTAGTGCCCAGGAGTCATGTTAGTTCATTTTAAAGTAAGGGAAGATCATCGTACAGATTATGGGCCTGACCATGAGTTACTGTGGATTCTTCCCCCTGGCCATTCGGTTAAGATCCCGGTTCGCCTAATATCCCGCATTTTCCTTGCTCCCAAGCATCGGGATCCTAGGCGGAGACGACAGTATTTCCTTGAAGTGTGTCAGCGCAAGTTCATTCATGCATGTATGTGTGTATTTGAGCAGTAAGTATATCTGCATTTTTGAATGAGAATGTGTGTGTTCATGTTTGTGTACCTATATATATATGCAAAGACAAGCATGAGCGTCTGTAAGGGACTGTGACAAATGTGCGTGATGTAACGCCTGTATTTGAGTAGCTTGTTCACACATAGGCAAAAACATTCACTCTTTCAATACCATCTAAGTCAGTGTAGCTTACACTGACTGCATTGCTAACACCTTATCAAAACAGTAACATAATTAAACTGACTGATAATACAAATAACTATTAAATCTATGTCACAAATGGGAAGTGGCAACCTACTTGTATCAGCAAGCCTGTTTTGGTGAATAAATTACTATCATTACTGAAAAAAAAACAACTGAATGCTACTAGGCAAAAGAAAACTATCAAATCTCGGACAATGTAAATCCCTTTCAGATACACAGGAAAGGGCCTAAACCGAGGGAATAATAAGCAAACTCACTCACATAACTGCTTGCAAGCAACTTTAAACTCAGAATGGATGATACAAAATCTTGAAATTAAATTGACAGCTTTCAACAGAAAATTACTCTAGTGCTAGAGTTCTGGTTTTCGGGGATTTTTTTTTCCTTTTTGTTTTACTTTCAGATCTTACCCTTGTGTGGTGGGGGGAGAGAGAATCAAGTAAAATGTCATCCCTAGACTAAATAAGAACGAACTGTGACAGTGGAGAAAAAGTTATAAGTTGTCTTCCTAATGACCTCCACAACTTCCAAAAAAAGAGAAAAGGGTGATAATGCAAGGGAGAAGGGGGTGGAAGGGGGGGGGGGGATAATAGAAACAGCTACACAATGGGAAGTGACAGATACCACAATACCTCTCTTTGTAATCACACTCTGATCTTCTGTCCTCAGTGGATTCTTCTTCTCCCAGGCAATGTACCTTTTCCACAACTCCACCTGAATGCATTCAAAGAATAACCATGGAATCTTGCGTAGCCTACTGCACTGCACATTCATTATGCAACAATGAAAATGACATACAAGCTGTAAGCACAACAGTACTCACACACAAGAAACTAAGAAAAACTCTCAATAACAACTTTAAATCAGCTCTTGAATAAGAGCATTTAACTTGGAAGATAAAAACCCTTTACCAAGGCCCTAGAACTTAATCGACAACATCCTCTCCATCTTTTCATCTATAACAGAAGACTAATTAGAGCAACTTGAACATTTTGTCAATGTGGTACTTCAAAAAAACATGTTCATCTACTACTCACAGCAAATTATGACAGATGTCTATAGGCTAATACTAACTTAGTCAGCAATGAATTTTTTTTTTCAACAGATAGCATGATTCATATAGCCAGCTCATCATAAAAATCAGGAAAATTGCGAATACTCCTAAACAATAATTATAAAATTGAAAAGAAAGAAGCCGAGACCTGTTTGAGTTCATTGTAAGAGTTGTGTGGGGGAACTGAGGGGGCATTCTTGTCCAGACCACGGGTGGCCACTTCATACTCCTTGGCCACTCGGCGGGCACTCATGTATTCCCTGCTCCGGTCGTCAATCATCTTCTTGGCAATCAGGTTATTGATACTCTGTGATCAAACACAAACATTCGACTTATTGTTACTGTGTGATCAAACACAAACATTTAACTTATTGTTACTCCGCAATCAAATGCAAACAATAAATCATACATTTAATTCATTTATTTGCAATCAATGCTTTTCCGAACCTCAAAATTTCATATCAAGAATATTTTATGACCTAGTGTTATGCTTGTTCATGTCTACGCCTGTAGCCTACAATATTGAAGACTACAATCTAGTCTGTACCCAGTATTAACACCAACAGGGGAGCTCTAGAATGCCATATGTGTCATTGCTGAGAACATGATGCTGAAAAAAGTTGGTGCCAACAAACAGCCCTGCTTCATTACCTCTCTCCCTCTCTATCTCTCGTGTGTTTTATTGAGAAGACTCAGCTTATGAAAAGACATATTAACATTTCAGTGCCGATTTTAAGCAAATCTATAGCTGATTTTGAATAAAAATGTGATAGATTGGGCCCTCTGCAAACACTTTCCTGGAATGCAATAAAGAAAAACAAAACAGACACACCAAGGCAAGATATATCTCGAAACATTTAGCTTTCACTTTCAGTCCATATATTTAGCTGCTGGTAGTGTACAATGAGCAGGAAATTACATTATTTAAAATCTTCACAAAAATGCAAACTTGATAACTGCAACCAAAGAACTTGTCTCTGTGCCAGCTGACCCTGATAACCCCCAGCCAGGAAGCAGCAGAGGGTTGAAGACTAAAGTAGGGCACAAAATCATGTGAAAAATGATCCCATGAACAATGCTTTATTTCATACAAATTATTTTACATAATTTTTCTACCTAACAATAACAAATAGGTTTAACATTTGAGTTAGGGTTAGAGATATGAAATGTGAATAAATTTCTTCTACGATTGTTATTTGCCCAGAAAATCAAAGTAATACATTATCAATCAACAAAAAAATGCTATCACTGTATTCATAGTAACACAACAAAAATTAGGCCCTGATGCATACATAAAGCCTTTAAAATCTAAAAACAGAACTTGCATTTTCATAGGCTGTGTAGTCCTTCCACAAGAGTTCAATGTTGAGCATGGGGTTTGTGACACCTCTCTGGTACACCTTTCTCACTGCTGTGATTCTCTGGTTCTCAGCATAAGATCCCACTGCCTCTCTAATCAGGGGGAAATAAAATGAAAGTACACATGAAGTGACCTTTCACAGCAACACATTGGCACATAGATGGAAGCACTAATATTTAAAAAACATCATTCTATACTTTAAGCAACAGGGAGACAAAAAGATCACTGCCTCTATGAACAGGGGGAAATAATTGAAAGTACATGCTTGGTTTCTATAGGGCTGACATCCAGTGCTGACATTATCAATTTTACTTTGATTTTTCAGAAACACCGAAAGCGCTGATTTGGGGATACCAAATTTCTTTCAAGTTTCTGTCTCAGTCAGTGCAGCACTTTTCGTCAAACTTTGCTAATGTAATGCTTGGTTTCAACTGTCAGACAATAAAGTGTTCTCTTCTCTGCCATACTAAAACTATCCAGTATTGATAAAAGCATAGAAAGGAGGATTGTGCATGTGCCTTGCTTGGTGTAGAAGCAAGAGAAAGGAAGAGTGATGCTGATGAGCCTTACCACTAAATTGCTTTTACATAACATCACAATCCTGACAATGAAAGTAACAGTGGTCAGAGTACACTACCCACTTCTCTAGTTTGATCACTTTCTGATCCATACCTTGATGTCCAAACAAGTCACCCAGTACAGGTCAGTTATATAGTTCACATCAGGTACAAGGTTTTTTGTAAAGAGGCTTCAAAGAATAAACAAGACTAAGAGCGGTGGTGAAAAGATTGTAACATTATCTGGACTCAATACACATCTCCTTGACAATGTAGTTGGCAATCAATATATCAGCATCTGAAACTGGAGTAAATTCAGATGACATAGACAAGGAGGTAACTCAAAACATGCAGTGCATCTAGGAACATAAGTAAAGCGAATATGACTTCGGCACACATTCAGATCTTGTGAAATACTTCAATTTGGGCCAGCTGCAAACCATAACTTCACGCTTGGGAGAAACCAGTATGCTCAATGTGTCATATTTCCTACACAAACATATCAGCCACCCCAAGCATAATAAACTAGAAAAAAAACAGGAACAAGCCTGGCCAATTCGCTAAATACTCACACTGATTTGAGAAAGCTGATGTACTCGGCCCAAATCTGGTACGACAAGATGTCCATCCCTATCTTCTCGAGGGCGAAGTCATATGCTTGAGCCATTTTTTCTCTTTGAAAAAAAATTTTTTTTAGAAAAGACATTAAGAAACTTAAAATAAGTCTTAATTTGTCTCTTTAAAAATTCACTTCTTAATTATGTGGCTGGTATAGGAGATACTTCTCGTTCCATTTATGAGAATAAAGAGCATCTTCAAAAAATATTATACAACAAATTACTATACAAACAATATAAGTTCTTTAGTCTTTGTAAGAAAAAATTACAATCGAATTAAACACAATGTGCTGAGAAGTGCAAATGGTGTCTTTTCTTAAAATAAATATTAATCAATAAAACAAAACCTGTACAAGAACTACCTTCAAAAAGCAAAAAAATGTGACAGCCAACATTACAAGAATGATGATTTTATTCTACTAAAGCTGAACACTTGAACATTTAATTGTTTTTGTTGGTTTTGGTAAGTGTTTTACAGCGCTCGTAACTGCATAAGGTCAAATGAGTGCCCGGGACACATTAAACTTTTTCAGTTGGAAGGACATTTTGAATTTTGCCCGCGTAGCGACCAATGCTTACTCTTAGCGATTTTAGACCACCAAGGGATTTTTAACGTGCGCAGCTTGCACAAAGGCCCTCCAAGATTTTTCGACCTTGTCCGAGAAGGCTAGGTGTAGATCTTTCCTACCAGAAGATCAGGGGTGTAAAGACAGCAGTAAGAAGGAGCCAAGGAGTAGCAGTAGTAAGGCTGCAGAAATAGTCAGGAGCCCAGAGGAGGGGGCAAAGGAGGTGTTAATCATTCCTAGCCAAAAACATATTTTCCTTAAAATGGGGGTATGGGGGGAAAAAACGGGAGTCTCCAGAACCCCAGTAGATTAAAATAACTTAACAAACCAATCATGGCAAATAAACTCGTGTAGCAAATACAAGCAAATAACACTAGCATTATAAAAATATTTATTTTCCTGTCATTTACGATTAGTAGTGTTAATACTGTAAAGACAAATAAAAATATGTTCTTCCATGTCCTTTGCGATAGGCCGCACACGACCTGACTGAAACGGAGATTAAGAAAAAAAATAGGAATTTATATTATGCAATCAGACAGCTCCAATTTTACCCGAGTTCTTGGGAGGCCCGGGTACTACATTCAAAGAAACAACGAGGATAAGACAACCAACTTCCCCACTCTTTTATCAATTGAATAAGACAACTTCCCCATTCTTTTATCAATCTCAGGTCGTCTGCACACAACAGCAGAGAACTTAACAATTTCACTAAAGATGTCAGTTGTTGCAAAAGTGTTTTTTTTTCAATGGGTGTGTTAAAATAGAAAACAAACAAAACATACCTGTATGAGGGCAGTATCCCTTTGGTCTCCTTGATGTAGTTGAGGTATAAGCGCCAAAGGTCAATGTTGAGCACTTTGATGAGGCAGCGCTGGAAAAGCTGAGCACCACAAGCGGTCGTCCAAGGATATAACATGGTAAATGCGGAACAACTGTCATTCATTAAAAATTAACATACTGAAATACATCTCAATCACTCCAAAAAAAAATTAAATAATAATAACGCAAGCCCTCACACAAAAAAGAAATGCAAGTCTCAACTTTTCATTATGAAACTATTTTAATCTCAAGAAGAGCAAATCATAAAAAATTTATGGAACGTAAAGTTTGTATAGTATCCACAAAGTTGATAATAAACTAAAGTCACCAAAAAAACAACAACATTTTATCAACATGAAAGACGGTATATTTAAACATAATTGATGACTCAAAGAAAACACGACTCACTGAAGACAAAGAAAAACATACACAGATCTATTTTACTAATGAAGTTTATTTTCTTCAAGTACAATAAATCTCAACGATAACTCTATCTTCTCAGCTTTTTTCGGCTACTTCAATCTGAGAAGTGACTTGAAAATCATCTTTCGTAAAAAGGATCAGGGAAAAGCTCGAAGAACAACAAATTACTAAGTCGCTCAAACCATCTCGCCCCAAATACAGCCCAGACTAAGCTCACAATCCCACGCCAGAGCAATGACTAAGCCAATAAATTAAACATTCCTGGATGATTAACACTGGTAAGAACTGGGCGCCACCTTTGAGGCTCTTCTCTTGTTCTTTTTCACTAGTTACAATATCTGAGACTTACAACCTATGAACTATTTATGAAAAACATGCCCCATCATGCGAAACATGGAGGATCATCATACTAGAACAACCACAATAACTTAAAAAAAAAAAAAAGAATCATACAAGAATCACCAACAACAATCAGAAAACAGAAAAAGTCAACATAATTATAAAAATTAGTTTATTACCAGTATTGTCTTGAACTTACAGTAAAAAAGCACTCTATTCAAGACATACATTTCAGAGCTACAACTTTCCTGTATGGTGCTCCATGTCTTCATTATCATCACCTTTAACTAACTTCCAAGAAACACGAGAAGCCGAAGTAAAACTGATTCCATTCAGTGTCAGTCAGTTTTTATTTAATCTTTTGGTGATAAATGTTACAAGAATTGTAAAACACATACATGATACATACATACAATTGTGGAATCTTACTAACCTTTTCTACTCGTTCAAAGTTCTTCAGTTTCAACTGAAATAAAGTGTAATGAAGAAAATGTGAACATGGTTTGGTATCTAGAAAGATTGTTTCTTCAAAGCAGATGTCCCCAGCAAAAAAATCAGATATCATCATCAGCATCAGCAAGCAAAAAAGAATTCTTGCAAAGAGAAGAACATGAGGCTATAAAATAAAAGTTTCTGCAACAACAAAATTCCAAACTCGGTAAAACAAAGTCTATTTCTCATTGCGCTGTTGGCCTTTTACAGAACATGTGAAAACCTTCTTAAAAACTGTAAAAACAACATGAGAACAACACAACACTGTATCCTCGATGAGATGTTTCCAGCCATAGCTCTCCACTTTGCTACACATTGACTAAGATTCCCCCTTTCATGCACCAGACTGACTATATCTTATTGCAGTATGGAAATTATCAAAAAAAAATTTTTTATTTTAAAGCCAAGATTCCGCTGAATTGGATATCTTCTGGGATCAATGTTTTAGGGGTTGTCTTTTGCTTTTTTTTTGGGGGGGGGGTTGTTTTATTTTGCTGGGATTTTTTTTGGGGGGGAGGGGGGTATAGTGTAAGAGTTTCACAGCACTTGCAACACAAATCCCTCGTATTACAGACAAAGACTAGAGGTGATACTAGAGAGAAATATTCATAAAAAAAGGAGAAGTGATAAGGTTGATAGAGATTTGACAAGAAAGGAGTCCAATGTTATTCTTCACATCTGTGTATGTCAAGTAAAACATGGCACAATAGTTGAAACTTTTGCAATATCGGGGGCCAAAGGTAGATGGGAACTAACCACAGCAGTTTTATCACGTATAAACTCTGCACTTGCCTTTCAATGTAGTCCTCTTCAAATATAAACATATAGGGACAAGGACTTTGACTTCTTTAAAAATAATATTAATTTAGCATGTGTCTATTTTCAATGAAAATATATGTTAACATCGAAAAGAAGATAAATCTGAACTTTCACAACCTCTGGAGAATGGATGCCAATAATATAGTCAATCCTAATCAAGATGACCACCCATTGTCGAGGAGAAAAGTGGTCACCTTAGACATGCGGTCCTTCTTGAGGATAATATCTTTAAAATATAGAAAAAAACGCAAGAGGGAAGCTGGAAGTGGTCATTTGTACAGGTGATTGTCTTGGACAGGTGGTCTTAAGAGCAGGTTCGACTGTATTTTTAAAAAATTCCACATGAACATACAAGGTGTGCGCACTACAGCTGTGCCCACTCGAGTTTACTGTTCGGCATTCATGATTTTTGCAATATTCACAGCTATTTGAAGCGTGGCAAAGCCATTCGAATGCCGTGTGATTGTTTTATTTTTAACAGATAATGGATTTTCGTCTCATTTTTTTCAAACGTAGAAAAATTGGAGCACATTATATTAAAAATCATTAAGATAAATATACAGAAATACTTTTTATTTGATGGTTAAGAGATAGAGTGATAAGAGGAGCCTACAAAGAGTTATAAATCAATACTTTAGAGAATATTTCTTACTATTCAATATTCACTCGTCACACAACTCGACAGCTCAAGCAAGGGCACATGACTCTTGAAGCGCAGCGAATGTTTTTTTCCATGAAGTTAGCTGTCGCAATGAGCTCCCCCTAACCTTACTCGAAATTCGAAGCGCTATGAACGATGACATGATGTCAACACGTTGCACTGCTGTCGGCGCGCATGCAACAACAACACACGTGCACTCAGTGACTGGCATTGAACAGTGCAAGTCAGATCTGGACTATCACAATATTAGAAAAAACAATTCGACAGTCCTTCGAATTGCGGATGTTAGATCTGGGCTTATCACATGATATAAGAAAAAACGATTCAACAGCGCTTCGACTTGCGAAAGTTAGACCTGGGCTTATCACATATCAGAAAAAATTATTCGACGGCATTTTGAATTGCGGAAATTAGATCTGGGCTTATCTTATATAAGAAAAAACCATTAAACTGCGCTGTGAATAGGGGAAGTTAGACCTGGGCTTATCACATATATAAGAAAATACGATTCGACGCCGCTTCGAATTGTGGAAGTTAGTCTGGGCTTATCACATAGAAGAAAAAAACATTCGACGGCGCTGGGAATAGCAGAACTTAGATCTGGGTTTATGCTTATCATATAGAAAAAAACATTCAACGGAGGTATTCAAATGTCATGAATAGTATTGAGCTCACACTTCCAAGCTTCGATGACTTTTTGTCTCCAAAAAATCGCACAGCACTAGTGCGCACACCACACCCAAACTTCAGACTGAAGTATGCTAGTCAGAATCAGATTTCCAAAAAGGAAGTAAAAAAAGTACTTCATAATACAGGGCTATTTTAAGTGAGCTCAGAAGTCATCCCGTGGGGATCATATGGGGCTTAAGATTAGTTTACAGGGAACCAGACTGATCATCGCCATATGTAGCCTGGAGCACATTCGGAGAACACTGCGGCTAACACTGGAAACAAGTAAAAGGAGCAAATCCCACCATAGCATTCGCACATCCCTTGGGTCAGAGCTAAATGAAAGAAGAGATAACAACAAAAGTGGTGAGTTCAATCAAGTGCATTGTTAATTTTTTTTAAAGTTTAAAAGGTCCCTCAATGTCCTACACAATAAAACTTAATATAAGACACGTCATCATTCCATTGCTCTAGAGAAGATTTCACATGTTATGGACCATTCCGCTCACTTCTGAGGATTGGAATTTGGAAATAAGCATCAAATCTTGAATGAAAATTATATCACAACAGAGGAGTCATTTTTCAGCAGCCAACTGCCTCTTGCATATCTTTGTCTTGTCTCTGTGGCTGATTGATGCCAATCTTTGAGGAAAATTGAACAGCAGACAACAAGTTTTAAACCGAAGCAAAGGACTGTCAGATGACAACATAGTGACAGAAATAAAGCATAGAATGCGAGTTTGCCAATAAGGTTTCTATTAAAATTAAACATGTAAGAACTCGATGAGGACAGCCGAACAGGAGTCAAAGGCATAAAAAAGAATAACAGGCTTTTTTAGATTTTATCTGTTTCTGAAGTTTAAAGAATTGCACAGACTTAATGATGATTTTAATATCATCATCACCATCAAATGTTGTATCACTGAATGGTCTTGATAATTTTACACCGTGGTCATCAATTTTTCTTGATCAGCAGTGCTGGCTACAGACCAAACATACACCCACAAAACAAATACAAGACTATGGGAATTTTTGTTTGAATCAACAGATAAATAAGAAGGGACTACTTTAGCACCTACTTATCCCTTCCAGCAATAACACAAATATACAAACACACAGACCTACACCAACACTCACATTAACACACCAAGAACAACTTACACAGACACCCACCCACATACCAACACATAAAAAAGGGGGAAAGGAATGAGAGTTGCTGTAAAGAATAGACACTAAAATGTCTTGCAAAAGATTTTTGTATTTGCGAGGGGACAAATCAGATTGTAACTCAACACGAATAGAATTAAACAACACAGTTGTTTAAATGTATATAAAAGTTGTAATCATCATAATATATTTTATGACAGTGACAAATGCTGAGTAATTCCGATACACATGCATCTCCTTGCCCTCTTACACATACATAAGATACAAAATAAATGCATCTATCATTATTATCACAGTATAAAAAACACTGCTGGGAAAGACTGTGGCACAAGTATAAATTAGTCATGAAAAAGAAATTGAGCAAAAAGTGAGTAAATATCTCTCTTTTTCATAAAGGAATCATTGTACCAACTTACGTGTGATGACGCATATTTTTAATCAATATATGTAACCCAGTCAAGAAAAAAGAAAGATGGGGAAACAATTGTGAAGTTCTAAAAGAGGGTGGGAGCGGATCTTTATTGTAGCACAAATAAAAAAATACTTTTTTCCCCACCCTGATGCTATGGTCAAACACTTCAAAACACAGTGAAATCAGTCAAAGTAAAAGGCAATACCACAACAACACAAAACCCAGAGAAAGAAAGAAAGAAACAAAAATATTGAACTAGAATGTGGGATGATAATTATTTCAAGATGTGGGCCAGTGCTGTGAAAGAGCTGTAGTTCATGAGCTAGTTTGCAGCACTCACATAAATTTCCATTTCTAGAGCTTTAGTTTAAATAAAAGAGGTTGTTTTTTTTACATGTGCAGTACAAACAGGTCATTTAAAAGAGGGAGATTGGAAGTGTTACTAAAGAGTAACAAAGATAAAAAGAAAAGGAGGAGAGATGTTTGATAAGCAAGAATGAGCAAAACTACACCAGAGCACCCGCCAACCAGCCACTTTTCCAGAGATAAACAGGATGACAACAATATTGAACACACAGAAGTATAGCGGAGAGGTCACACGGGAGTATTTATGTCAACAGTGCAGCAACCTATCCCCAGTCCAACAATGATGAGAGAAGATTGAGAGCAAAACAAGAAAGACTACACAGCAGACACTGTCAAGTTGTGTGGTTGACTCATAGTCCATTGTGAGCTGGCTGTAGAACGTCAGATAGTCACCGAGAACTAACAGGAAAGTGACAGTGAATAGGAATAAAAAGACCAGTCTAGAATATGAAAATATCACCCTAGTACATAAACAAACAAATTCTAAGGAGCACTCAAACAATAATACGCAGCAAGTTTTGAAATTTAATATACATGCACAAGCAACAAAAACTTAAACAACCCAACGCTAACAAACAAAATAATCACCTTTTTAAAAGAAACACACACACACATACAAGTAAAATTTAAATTTTAAAAAACCCAACCCAAGAATGAAAAGAATGTTACACTCACAGACAAGACGGGATATTCTCCTTTAAGCAGCCCTCTCACTCAGCTAATAACATGTACACTATTCTCTTCATGGTTTTTCTAACATAACAAATTAGGGAGTGCAAAAAGCGAATTTGAAATATTGCCAAAGGTATTCAAATGGTATTAATAAAATTTGTTGTTACACCAATGTTTTTCATTCCCTTAACTCTGTTTACTAAAAGTTTCACTTCACATTTTTTAAAATACTGACAGCTCGAAACAGGTCATTGGAAAATAATTTGACACCACTGTTTTCTCCACTAGAGAGCAACAAGAAAACAGAAAACTTCTGGATTATCTTTCTGTTTATCACCAAATACATCACTCTTTTCAGCCAGTCATATTTTTCAATATAAGGAGTACATTGTATTGTATTCTACTCTTACAACCTTGCAACAATTTTTGCCCTTCATTGTTTTGAGTCATAACGATATTCACTTTGAAACTAATTTTCATTGTGCAAGCTTGACTTTCATAAAACTACAAGTTATTGTAGAACTCCAAAAGCACTTTCTCATAACTGAGATAGTATGTTGTGCTTTAAGGTCTCCATAATTTTACTCTTTTCCCCATTCCCATAAAACAAAGCCCTTTACATTGTACAGGACCCTTTGTACAAAAAAAAGAGTCATCTCTCTGGTGAGAGAATGATGTTCCAGTGTAACTTTGCAGTACTAAGGCATACAACAGGATGACAATGCCAAGAAACATTCTGTGTCTTCAGGTCACAAGTAAACATATTAAATTATGTTTATAGAAGTTGAATTTTTACTAGTACGTGTCCACATTGAGAAAATTTGAATATGCCCACCTCACTATTTATAGGCGAAACAATGACACCTGAGTCTTATTTCAAATTCAAAGTAGCAACTTTATTATATCACAGATAAGTCTTTGAGAAAAGAATTTGAACTCAGGAGGCAACACAAAAAAACAACATAGCTCTTGCCAAGTAATAAGTCAAGTCAAACACAGCTTTTCTTGGGAAAGAGTTTATGTGAAAACATGACCAAATAACCAAGCTCCAAACTGTTTTGGAGGACAATTTAAACAATGTTTAAGAACAGATGATTCCAAAGATATCAGAGGCTCAACAAAGCTTTTGACATTGAAAATAAAATAAAAGTAGATGAAAGTTAAGATGACTACTAGAATTTCCAAAATAACAATGTTGCTTTTCATTTCTAAACCAGAACACATCCAGCATTGATTTAAAGAATGAATCAGTAATCTTTGTGGCCTGGTTTCTTCGTAAAGCAACCTGACTTCTATCAATGGAATCAACTGGAAAAAATAGAAAAATAAGTAAACCTCATGTTCGATATAGATCTTCCAATATTTGCCAGCATTCGGGAACTGCTCCACCAGCCGCTCGTAGACGACCCTGGCATCTTCTATCTTTCTGATCTGTAGCAGGAGTACAGAAATTTTAATAAAACGGATGAAAATATACATATATATAAGTTTTGTATTCTTAAAAATCCATACATTCTGGTATATAACATAATACTGTGGCACTTTATATGATCCATCCCAACCCCTACATCCATAACAGACCTGAATGCAAGTCAAAGAGAAAATGCATTTATTATAATTATAAACATTTTCATAAGAGTAATGTTTCAAATTTCACATCTTTTTGAGAAGGACCATGTCGCTTTTCGAGAAACCCCACTAAATTACATTATAAACTTTATTTGAAAGGTAATTTCAAAGTTTTTTTAAATGTCCAAGGTTCATGAGACCATACTGGAACCCCCCCACAAAAAACACTTAGTGAAAACACTGATAACATAAATAAATAGCTATCATGAAACCACTTTGACTTTCATCCAAGCCCTTACAGTATCACTGGACCACATAATTGAGTCATGTGTACATGTGTATGCGAATGTGGTCAGCCCTCATCAATTTTCTTTTCGTACTTTCTAAAAAGTACAAGAACCTGAGCTTGGCGTTCATTTTCATTATCGACAACAACAAAAAAAGGCATAAAAGACGGCCATTAATTCTGGGGAAAAAAGAAACAAAACAGAAAGAGAAATAAATGAAGGATAAAAGAAGCAAGGCTCCCTTGCTGCATCCTACCAGCATGTCCATGCTATCACACAAAAGATGAACAATTCAAATGTTTCTTACTCAGAGTCAAACAGTGTCACTTTTTCAAACGTTTTATTTGCGACAGCAAGTATGTCATTCATTAAGTAAATTAACACAATTCCAAAACCAGTAAAATACCTGAGCGTCTCTTATAAGTATGCTCCATGCTTCTGTGTCAAATGGAAAGGCTTGGATCCTCTTCTCTGCTTTCACCAATTTGTCAGCAATGTATCCACTTCCTTGTTCCTGAGGGGAAAAAAAAGAGTTTAGCATCGATTATAAATTAGAATATTATGTACAAATTATCTAGGGACCAATATTTGCAGTCCAACCTCATTATACCGCCTACCTTGAGACGAGACGAGCATGAAGTTGGCGGTACAGCGGGGTGGGCAGTACAACGAGGTTTTCATGTCCTCTGTTAAATTCATGTAGCACCGCCTGCCCAATGACAAAGGAACCTGTTTGTTACCCAGTTACTAGATGAAGTAATGAGTAATTTCCCTTCATTCTGTCCCTTAGACTTGAGTGTGAGTCCTTGCTAAATAAAAGCCCCTCAGGCATTCATCTTTTTGGGCTGATATCTGGCGATGCCAGATATTTTACTCGGGATGGCAGGGTTCCTTGTAAGGTTTTTCAAGTGACTTAAAAATTTAATTCCCACCAATTTTTTAAAAGATATTGACCAAGGCCTAAAGATGATAGCATTTTCATAATTAGCGCATCATGCGGGGAGAAAATTTGAAGTTGAATTACAAAGTTATGTTTTATTTTAATTGTACTTTTCTACACGAGGGGAGCAAAATTCGATGTTGAATTACAAATGGTCTATTTTAATTGTACTTTTCTACATTACACATTGTATTGAGTTTGCTTGCGACACACTATATGACTAAAGATCTATCCATATTGCCTGAAGTCAACAAGACAAGGGTGGAGAGGGAGCAAATTGATGAACAGCATTTGATCTAAACCTACGCCTTGGCCTAGCTCGTAGAGTTGCGCGTGAAATACTGTCAGGCAAACACCAAGTGGATGTGCTACTGTGCGTGTGCTGTGTACTTCTGGGGGAGGAGGGGGGGGGGGGGGGGGGGGGGGGGTGGTGGTGTTGACTTTGTAAATTTTAGAATCTTATGCTAACCAAAAGTTTCATAAACTGAAGCTCACCTCTAATTGGGATGCTAGAAGCAAGAAAATAGGTACATCAAATTTCTATTGATCATCAGGGTCAAAAACTGGGAAGACAACAAAATCTAAAATGGAAGAAGCCCAAGCATTGAGGTGAGGGTAAAGAAATGGCAAGTACAGAAAGAGTACTTGAGCTTTTGCCAAAAGGTGGGGGTGTTTGCTTAAGGACTTTTTAAATCAACCACTACTCATGGTAAAATATGTTTTCTTCTGAAAACTTTATGTATATGGCAAGGAAATAAGTTGGTCAAGCTGCATGAGCAAGTAGATTGATGTGTGCATCTTATATCTCTACATAGAAAGATAATAGTACTAAAAATAGGGCATTTTTTACTCATCCTGAGTGCACACGTAATTGTATGTTAAATACAGAATATTGTTAATCTTAAACTATCAAACAGAAGTGCATTCAAACATTGAAAATAGTTTGTATACACCATCATAACAGCGTGTGCCCATTAAAAGGGTTTTATTTTTTTATATTAATGTTATTGCTGAGTAAAATTTATAAGTTCGTTCATAACTCGTGTCATAATTACATCATCAGACTTTCCAAAGTCTAGAAAACCCAAATCGTTAAACATATCATCCCAGGGAATGACCGGTATTAAACATTGGTTTGACATTGATCCATCAGAAGGGTAATTTTCCGCTCCATCGCATGGTTTTGCTTAAATATGACTTTGTTGAGATAATCCAGGTTTGTCATAATGATGTTATGAACAAACACTTTATGATATTTCTGCAAAATATTATGTGAGGGACTTCCCACTGTTTCACAACATCCTTTTACATGGTGGAATGAACATGGAAAAGTATCGTGCTGATGACTCAAAAGAGAAGCGAAGAAGAGGCAAAAATATGCTTGTCATAATGGATTGTCATCATGTTATGAACGTGACAGTGTGTCATAATGGTTATGAACGAAACCTTATTCCATGTAAGTTACAGTTGTTTTGGGATGTATTTTTAATTTTAACCCAACTTGAGGATGTATTAGACCTTGCTTACATTCAGATATTTTGATTTTTATCATAAGTGTATGGGTCTGGATTTTAATTAGTATTTTACTTTTGTAGTAATGGTTATGAACGAACTACATTTTGTACTCTGAGGGCTTTCTAGAGTTGATAAACATTAAAAACATGTACACAGATACATATTATGAGGAAACTTTCATTTAATATAAAATTTTAAAGTAAATGACAGGTAAAAATATTATTTTTTAGGTCAAAACTGAAGTTTGTCATAATAGTTATGAACGAACAATTAAAGGTATTCTAAGGGTTTTTCAGTGATTAAACTTTTAATTCTTCCCACATATAACCTTATTTTGAGGAGAGTCTCATAAATTAAAACAATTTTATGTGAATGACAGAACAATAAGTTAATTTTTTGAGCCCAAAGTAAAATTTGTCATAATAGTTATGAACGAAACAGTGTGTCATAACGGTTATGAACGAAACACTATTCCATGTAATTTACAGTTGTTTTGGGATGTATTTTTAATTTTAACCGAACTAAAGGACAGAATAGACCTTACATACATTCTGATATTTTGATTTTTATCATAAGTGTATGGGTGTGGATTTTAATTAGTATTTATACTTTTGTAGTAATGGTTATGAACGAACTATTTATAGTCCACTTTATATATTTTGAGGGCTTTTCAGTGTTAACAAACTTTAAAAACATGTACAGAGATACATATTATGAGGAGAGTTTCATTTAATAAAAGTTTTAAAAAATGAATGACAGCTCAAAATGAGTAAATTTTTAGGTCAAAATTGAAGTTTGTCATAATTGTTATGAACGAACCATTTTAAAGGTATTCTAAGGGTTTTTCAGGAAATAAACTTTGAATTCTCCATACATAAAGGAATCTATCATATTTTAAGGAAAGCCTCATAAATGAAAACCGTTTTATGTGAAAAACAGAACAATATAAGTAATTTTTAGGGGCCAAAAGTAAAATTTGTCATAATAGTTATGAACGAAACAGTGTGTCATAATGGTTATGAACGAACTTTAAATTTATGCATAATATGCCCTAAGACCAGTTTGCGTTTAAAAATAGCTGTTCAATGGTCTTCCATTTATCACTTGACTATAAGAGTGTTATTTTAGACAATTCTAGTCGATGAAACTTGATATAATCGATAGTATTTTGGTCACTTATTGTTCGTTCATAACTATTATGACACAAAAAAGTAATTTTATCAAAAATTAATAAAGATTTTTATAAATTGTCAATTCTATGTATTTTTGGAAGTTATTTGCTATGTCTCAAAATATAACATCAGCCTAGCTGAAGAAAGGAACTTTGAGTATTCATAAATTTGTGTCATCATTGTTATGAACGAACTTTTTGCTATTTCCGTCATTCAAGTCAGAATTACACCAAGACCATTGCATATACAGCTTTGGCAGTTACTGAGTCTGAAAGAGCAATCATTAGGCTATATAATATGGGTGATTAAAGAATTATTATATAAAGTTGATTTTGGACCTCATTTGTCACACCCTGGTATCCCACCTTTTGGCAAATGCTCACTTATCAAAATAGGAGTTTAAGCTGATTTTAGATAGTATATTAAATGTGATTATGGGCTGGAAAAGTTACTACAAAGCTTGGGAACTGGAAGAAGTATAGGAGGGTCTGATTTAGAAGAAAGAAACAGCAGTTTAAATTTCAAGCTTTCGGGGTCTAAAACTCTGTGAAAGAATTTCGGGGGGGGGGGGGGGGGGGGGTTATTAATTAATAATGTATTTCCTTCCTTTAGGAGTTTGAATGATACTTTTTTTTTACTTTGGCAGAATTTCTAAGGAAGGCAGGAAGGTCATCTCCAAGACCTTGAGTGACCAGGAGCATGTGATGAGAGAAAGAAAAAGATATAAAAATATATAATTTATAATGCCTCAGAACTAAGACAACACATGTACAATATATGTTTTGAACTAGCACAATCACCAAAAATTTGGGCAACCCAACTGATCCACTGACACTAGAGAAGCTGTACACGCTGACAGATGAATTGAGCAAGACAGACTAGTTATGATAGATACCGGACCGCAAGTGTAATGCGATCGACAAGAACAACAACAAGATCGTAATGCCCTTTGGACACTACCTAAACTATTTATAATAATAGAATTACAATATTCAATACCATCAATTCATAACACTGGTTAATTTGATGTTGCTGATTTCAGAAACGGTATTAGTTTTTGGGTATCACATCTAATTTTTGCTCTATGAAAAAGTGGCTTTTTAATTCTTTATCTTTATCTCCGAGGAGGTAAACCCACAACGCCGGGACCCTCTTTTTGTACAAAATCTAAAAGTGACAAATATATCACTAAACTGGTCAAAAAATCAAAACAAGTGAAGCTATTTTGAGAGTTCTTCATCTAATGAATGAACTCTCGGTAAACAAGCTGTTTTCGGCAATTGCCAAAAAGTAATTTGATGTCGAAGTCATTGTAACAGAAAGGGAGCGGCTCGCCGAAGAAAAATAAGGCTAAAAGTCAATATCCAGTGGAATCCTGTTATAATGAGAGAGAGGGGACTGCTGTGAAAAATGCCTTTTGGCGGGATTCACTTTATTTATAATAAATTCAAGGGAAATAATACTGACAGCTCGGTGTTGGCGATCAGAAAGAAAGGGCTCTAGGCTAACTCACCTGCTGTGTTGTCCCCCCACCCAATTACACCCTATGGTGCGTTCCGTTTGCTTGCTCACATTACACCACATCCTGCCCATGTCACACATGACATTCGCTCCACCCATCGCATCAGAGAAATGAGAGACACGGCAGGCCTAAATAATCTAGACTAGGTTGGTCTATCACGGGATGAGTTCTGCTCGTCTGCGCATGCCACACCCTCCGCATTCATTGTTGGCACATATAGGCTCTCCCATTCTTTGTTTCGCAAGATCACCAACAAGTTTCTGAACTAGTGAGGTTATGTATTGGCCCATATGCGCTTTTATTAAGCGCTGTGCACAGCAGCAGCAATATTCCGCTATAACCGACTCGTGTGTTTGATTGCGCTA